GTCTATACTAAGTAGTTCCAGCGTTGACCGCTCGATAGCGCCGCTTACCCGCGCTAGAAAAAATCAGTCCGGGAACTTTCCGGACAAACTGTGTAGTAAACTTTTATTTAAAAATATATCTTTAAACAGTTTTAGTGTTAAAAGTAAAAAATAGAAATAGAAAAAAATCGCAAAGAGATAACACACACGCACACACACACACACATACATATTTTTTCTCTCTCTTTCTCTTTTTTCTTCTTTTATCTTATCGAGAACTATTTACTATGCGACGGAAACGTTTAGACCTGTTTTTACGTTATCGAGACATCGGTGTGTACATAATGAAACAATTAAGATTCGTACTTGCCACACACTTGAAACATCTCATTAAAGCGTTCTTCGTCGCTTAATAATTGATTGTCAAGTGATTCACCAGTGGAAAAGTGAATTTTTCACATGCGCAGTAGTGCAAGTAGACGGACTTAGACCTCAGTTGCATACACGTGATCTTCGTGTGAGTACGACTCTTTCGTTTCCCTTCACTGGATTCGAACTTGTAGATTTTTTTGACTACAATTGTCTCACAGTCTGTCTGAATCATTCGTTTTTTTTTTTTTTTTTTGAAAGAACTAAATACAGCAACAACAAAAAAAGCATAAAATGTGCAACAGTAAGTAATATGTTGTATCAAAAAGAGGTTTGACTACAAATTTGTGAAACAAAATTAGTGTCCAACATCACGTTGAGAGATAAGATAATTTTGCTACACGGGGATCAAGAGATTGATCTAATTATATATAAAAATTTTTGCGCAATAGTATTTTTCTAAGATGACAAGCGCATGTGCAAATATATCTGCAAAATAAAATAAGGATACAACTCACGTTATTAACTGAAGATGTCTGTGTACGATGATACTTAAGTGATACCGATAATTGTCGTGATTTTTTAACAAACTATCGATTCTGCACGATAACGCGGCTAACTGGCCGCAGATATGAAGCGTCATGCTGATTACGAAAGTATCTGGTCCTGAATAACCGCAGGTTATTGTCAGAAGAGCAATCATCAGATAGATGCAGAAGCACGTATAGGTGAACATATCGTTGATCTCAATGAAGGGAATTACGCGATACGGCAATTCGTATGAGAAATTGGAACCAGACGTCACTGTACATACATATTACGTTAAATTTAATTTTATTGCTTTTTATCTCTGGTGTATTTATACGTTAAAGCATTAATTTAGTCAAAGATTTGCAGTTGCTGTTCCTTTAATTCAATTTATAACTCTCGATTAAAAAACTAATAATCAACAAAACTCTCTTTTTGTAAACATATTAAATATAAGCAATATTAGTAAAAAAAAAATGATAATTTTAACATTTTTTGCATGTTCCAGAAGGTTCACTCTAAATTTTACTTTAAAATAACTCAACGAATAACTTATTCGTTGTGAGTCACTTATTGACAAACTAGTAAAGTCAAATACTTTACACAATACTTTACATTTATATTTGTTATTTTGACTGTAAGCGTGATGTAAAACTAACCTAAAATAATTAAAACTACACAAAACAATAGTTACAGTAACTTGTAAGAAATTTTAATAAAACATTTTAATTTGTACAATGTGGTCGAAGATTTTTTAAATTTTTTTAGTATGTTAAATTGACTTTGAAACATCTAGATTAATTGAAATCATTGTGTTTAAGGCACTTAAACAATTTTCCATTTTTAAATGACAGGAAAAAAATGTTAATTTGTGAAGTTAACATAAATTTAACATGTGAAAAAATTAAAAAAATAATAACATATCAGTATTACGTTAATTTTACATTGAAGTAATAATCAAAACGTTGTAACACAAGAAAAGTTCTATATTTTGACGCACAATTTTTTACTGTGTATCTCATACAAATTATACACTACATTCATGTTTTTCAGAGATATGTCATTAATTTATAAAAAATTAGCGATATTTTTGGTATAATAATTTCCGAATAAGTCTCATGTTTTGTTCTGTTTTTCTGCTAATTCTCGCGTCTAATCGTTTCTGAGCAATGAGTGGCAACGTACACGCGGATCGTTCTAGCGATTGCCGAATTATTTTTCAATAATACGTGCACAATCGATTGTGAATTAAGAAGATACGAAACGATACAGTGTGAGTACTTTATAATTCACTGTAATTTTGAAAACATTTGATTTATCCGTTTTTTCAGAAAGATAACGCATTGTTCCTCTTCTTCGAAACTCGTTTTTATCATCTTTTCGTAATGATGACAATATCTCGGAAAGTCACGCTCAATCAAAAATTCAAAAATTATACGTAAAAGTAAAACAAATACAATTATTATTATTTTTTATACTTGTATTTTTAAAAAAATATTTTAAAAAATATTTAAAGAAGAAAATTAAACCATGAATAAGTTTCTTAAAACTTTGCTAATTGACACAAATGAATTAGAGTAAACACGATAGATGAACTGTTGGAGTCTTATCAAAAGATCTCTGATGCTGATTTACAACACGAGTAAATAAAATTTTATTTCTTCGAACGTAATATTTCACTTACTTGCATTCCAATTTTCCAAGAATGTTCGCAAGTAATATATTATAGCCGCCACCATTGTGTTACCCATCGAAATCTTGATGAATTTCAGCCCGATCTCGTTGTACCGTAAGTACACGGTCTTCTCTTGTACGTTGTGATAGGCCTCGGTCGTCAAATCACTTTCGATGATTTTCAGAAATTTGCTCATTATATCGCAGCCTAGTCTCATCACCACTATCTTTCCGGTTAGTATCAGAAATAAAATGTTCTCCGATAAATTCGTGACGACGCACTCTAGTGTGTCGCATTCGAACAGGTAGCACATCTCCATGATCCAGATACTTATGGAGTATATGACGAAAAATACGAACACGGGCTGATTCACTCTGATCGGCCACAGACCTAAAAGTCTCAAAAACCATCTGTTCCAAATTACTATGTTTGACGCTCGAGCGAACTCAGTTGTCTGAAAATGAAAGAGTCATCGTATGACACACCACGTGTAGAATAAGAACAAATTTCGAGTAGAGAAATTCTCGCAGAGATATTCTAATTTTGTTTATCTTAAGACGCGAAATTGGAAGTGTATTACGAATTATGTCTTTAAACTTTACAAGAACCGTTTGGCAAATCGCTACGTTTCGAAGTCGTGTACTTGGAAGATTTCGTCATCATTCTCTTTCTCTCTCTCTTTCTATACAGTGTATTGTTTAATAGACTAAACAATTCTCTTTAATTTCTACACCTTCATAATGCGCTCGGCTTCGAGTGTGTCCGGATGTTTACAGCAGACTGTTCGCAAACATGTTGTCCCAGGTACAAGGAAAACTTTTTCGACTAAACAGGAGGATGTGCCGATCACGTGAAGAGTATTGACTATCTTGTTAGTACTGCAATATTGATAAGCCAGCGCTGCATATTTAATTTTACCGACTATAACGTCGGTACGTAATATCGTATGAGCATTCATCCGAAAATATCTAGAGACTTGTTGTAATGACAGTCCTCGTTGGCGGTAATTATTGAGTTTAGATCTCCGATGACCTTAATTACCGTGTTCCTTTATTTCGATGCAAGAGAACTTACTTGCTGACCACTGACATTTTTGTTCTTCTTATTATCATAAGTACTAAGTATATGCTACGTGAGCCAGGGATGTTATTTTCTCAGAGAGGACAAAAAAACAGTTCGTCAAAATGCATACCGTGGAATTGTTCGCGACCAGCTGGTAGGCAATGCATTAAATATAGAGTTATAGTTCTCATCGCATTGTATCGGTATCTTCACTATTGTGTAAAATGGAAGAGTCTTACCGTGAAATCGCGCTACTTATACACGCTCGTTACGACTAAAATAGCTTAAAAAAATATCGCGCAATTGATTCTTAAACAACAACATAATTGATTTAAAGAAAAAGATATTAGTCCGCATCGAGTGTAACAAATTAACGGTAACATAAATTTAAATAATATCTCTGTTCACGAATTTTGCACAAGATAAATACTGCAAACTGGAAAAAATTCCGAAATTTTATAATCATAGTTTATAAACAGATATAAATAATCTCGTGTTTACATAACGATAAAGTTATCAGTTAAAAGATAAAGCACTTGATGCGGACTAATATCTTTCTCTTTAAATTATGTTGCATGTTGTTGCTTAAGAATCGATTGCGCGATATTGTTTTAGCTATTTTAATCGTAATGAGCGTGTATAAGTACCGCAATTAGCGCGATATGTGAAAATATGACAGTCATATTTGACTGTCATTGACAGTCTTGAACGTACTTATCAGATGGAAACAGTGCAAATGGATACCAATAACAAGTAAATGTCGTGCAATTTGTTCCATAATGTGATTGTTATATAATTTTCTTTATGAAAATTTCTTCATAATTTTCTTCAAATTGTCTTGCTTAAAAAAACAAAATTATACACTGCTCGTAACAATTAACATAAATATGTATGTTACAGATAGCGTTATATTTAAAACGAGAAATACTTGAACATACACACAGTTGCATATAAAGAGTGACACAAACTTTTACACACTCGTCGCCATGTTAAACGACGGTCAAAGGAAGTATCCGAAAAATCCACGACAAAACGCGAATGTAATCTCTCTTCTCACCTATTGGTAAGTTCTACAAGACGCGTGTTTATTGCGATCACTTGAAGAAACGCACAAAATCAAAGTGTTTGGCAACAAAAGTCAAAACATTTGTTCAACAAAGCACACCTGTAAAATATGTCCGGAAACTTCGTGTTTGCGGTAATGATTTAGCGTAAGAAATTCAAAATCAAGATATGTTTCGGCTGTCAAAACCTGTGAGAAGCCCATGTTTTGTTTCCATTGTGCGGCCTTGGTTTGAATCAAAGGAAGAGTTTCCGGTATATATTTTAACGAGCGTGTTTTGTGATTCTACGTGCGTTTTACACGAAAAGTGTACGAAAGTTTTGCGTATTTTCCTCGCTTCTGACGTTCATCAATCCACGATGGTCGCGGAAGTACGAGATCGAGGAATCTTAGAAAAGAGAGAAAAAGTAAAACACTGTGCGCGCAGGTGGACCCATAAAATTTTTTCGGTCGGTTACAAGAAGGATCTCGAAGAGAACGATCTTTACACGACACTCACGCAAGACAGAACCAGTTACCTGGGCGAGTTCGTAAGCAAAGCCTGGGAAGAGGAGATAGAATCTTGCGTCAAGAAGAAAAATGGCGCCAAGCCGCGGTTAGTCCGGGTGTTGCTGCGCTGTTTCGGAAAAGAGATAATGCTAGCTGGACTGGCGGAAGCATTCATGGAATTGTTCTCTAAGTATGTCATCAGCTCGTGCAATCTTTACGCGAAATATTGTCGGAACATTCGCGCTGAATCACACACACTGATTATGTTGTAGAATGTATCAACCTCTGTTACTCGCCGTTCTGTTGCGTTACTTCGCGAACACCAGAGAGAACTGGACCGACGAAGTGTATTACAGCGCAGCCGGTCTAATTCTCCTATCTATTGTAGACGCTTTTATCACACACTACACCGTCCATTACAGTTTGCACATGGGATTGAAACTTAAGATATCTCTTACCGCGTTGATTTATCGAAAAATATTGAGGATCTCAAATTCGGTGTTGGATAATGAGACATCTGTTGGACAGGTAAGCTGTAAGAGCTTGTACGCGCCACAAGATGTTGATCTTGCAATTATTACCTAAAGTCAAACGAAACGTCTTTTTACGCATACATTAGATTAAGAATCGAATTTTAATAAAATGTGAATACGCGCAGAAGATGAAATACTTCGAATTTGTGTACTTCACACTTTCAGATGGTAAACTTTCTAAGCAGCGACATCACCAGATTAGAATACTTCCTCATAGATTTGCACTACATTTGGATCGCTCCTATTCAAGTTATATTAATCATATACTTCACATATTCCGAAGTTGGATGGGCAGTGATGATGGGAATGTTGGTATTTGTGCTGTTTGTTCCTCTTCAAGGTAAATTCTGTCAACAATATCAAGTTTTCCAAACTGACTCATTACGGTTTAGAATGTGATTCTGGATTGATTACGTCTGTTGGCATACATTATTACTGATGAATGGATTTATATCGCAAAAATTTCAATTTCCTTTCAGCGTTCCTGACGAAGAATATCATGCCGTTGACCCTTAAAATGGCTAAGAGATCTGACAATCGACTAAGACTGATGAATCAAATAATCACCGGATTGCAAGTGATCAAAATGTACGTCTGGGAAACCCCGTTTTACAAACTCGTGGAGAATGCAAGGAAGTGAGTACGCGTCATGACCTGAAAACGTCGGTTTCAAAATTGCCGATAATATAAAAAGCGTTCGAATTGGAAAAATTGTCATCAGGATTTGATTTCTAGACGCGAGATGAACGTGATCAGAAAGTTCTCTATACTGAAACAATTGGCTTTCACTTTCGACTGCTACGTTCCTCGACTCTGTATTTTCATCACGATTTTGTCGTACGTTCTGTTCGGGAATTACATCAATGCTGAAAAAGTGTACTTAGTAACGGCCTATTTCAACGTTCTACGAAACTCGATGATCTTCGGATTTGCATTTGGTAAGGCTATTGATATAAATTAACAATGTCAAATGGTGAGAGTTGTTCTCAGGTTTCAGTAGATAAAATTGTATGTGTGTATTAACTTGGCTAGTATGAACCAATGTTGCAGGATGTTGTGCAGAAAAAATGTTAGAGTTAAAGTTAAACGTTTCGACTATTTATTTAGTCATCTTCAGTAGCAAAACTGTAATACAATTATTTTATTTTACATAGTTGTTGATTACTTTTGATAACACGTTATTACGCACAAATAAATATAATGAAGAAAAATATAATGATAAACGCACCTATGTACACTTCTAAATTACAAAGATTATTGATTATATTGATATAAAATTCAAGAATTGGCGTTTACGTCACAAATGACGGACTAAATCGATCGAACAATAATCTTTGTATCTCGTGGGAAGAGAGAAAGAGATTTCCGTTCTAAAAACAAAACGCATGAAACACTCTTTTCCTTTCACAAAACTCTTATAATATAAAGGGCTACTTAGTTGAAGTTGTGCTTATTTTCTGTTACATATTGAGGTTTTTTCTTCTATATAGTAAAGTGTGTTTCGTACAGGTCTTCATCAGATGGCACAAGCGTTGGTCTCTCTTCGCCGCTTGCAAAAATTCTTGATGCACTCCGAGATTGCAAAAACGCGTGACTCACGTAGCACGGAGTTAGACACGTTCGCACTCAGTATGACGAAGGTCACTGCCAAGTGGCACGGCGACAGCCAGAATGACACTTTGCGTGACATAAACTTGACCGTGCCACACGGCAGCCTGGTGATCGTCGTCGGCCAAGTGGGTTCGGGCAAAAGCAGTTTGCTGCAGGCGATTCTTCAAGAGCTGCCTCTGACGAGAGGCACCATCGAGAGTCACGGAAGAATAAACTACGTCAGTCAGCAGCCGTGGATCTTCGCCTCTTCTGTGAAGCAGAACATTCTATTTGGACAAGACATGGATAAGTCGCGTTACGACGAGGTGGTCAAGGTCTGTCAGATGAAGACGGACATAAGCTCGTTCCCTTACGGCGATCGGACTATCGTGGGCGAGAGAGGAATAAATTTGAGCGGCGGTCAACGCGCCAGGATCAACTTGGCGCGAGCGATCTACAAGGACGCCGACATTTATCTCCTGGACGATCCTCTCTCCGCCGTGGATTCTCACGTCGGCAGACGTCTTGTCGACGAATGCATCTGCGGCTATCTAAAGGCAAGAATTGTACGACAAAAGTAATAGATACTTTGCGCTGGGGGGTGGAAAGAATATTTAGAATTTATTATTTAAATTCTTTCCGAACGTTGTGTGTGTGTTACCGAGACTCGTCAACGCAGACACAAATCGAGTTGTTGTTTTAAACCTGAGAGCTATATATTAATAATATTTCTCTATTTTCAATATAAAGTTAAGACAATTTGAACCTGATTTTCTCTCTCCTTGGAAAAAAGCAAATTTTTAAACAATTTTTAAAGCTCGTTGAAAGTTAAACCAATATATAAAGCTTTACGAGCCGTTTTCAAGACGTTGAGCGGAAACTGTACGTGTATATATATATGCATACACGTGTATATATATATGCATACATGTGTAACAAGTTCAACTCGTAAATTTTTTACAAGTGAGTATTTTTTGAATTGAAAACTCAATTCTTAAATTCATACGGGATGCTGGATTTGCATCTCACATATGACAGACCCCGGATACCCCCCTAACTAATTTTTAAAATATTGCGAAAAAAACTTTCGACTCCTGGCCGAGGAGTTTTTTTCGCAATATTTTAAAAATTAGTTAGGGGAGTATCCGGGGTCTGTCATATGTGAGATGCAAATTCAGCATCCCGTATGAATTTAAGAATTGAGTTTTCAATTCAAAAAATACTCACTTGTAAAAAATGTACAAGTTGAACTTGTAACACGTGTATGCATATATATACACGTACAGTTTCCATCCAACGTCTTGGAAACGGCTCGTAAGGCCTTATATATTGGTTTAGAAAATTTTTAATTTTTCCTTTAACTGTTGCCGATCAGGGGAAGACAAGAATTCTCGTGACACATCAGCTGCAGTATTTGCAACTGGCTGACCAGATCGTTGTGATGAACAACGGCGCCATTGAGGAGAAAGGCACGTTTGAGCAATTGCAGACACTGGGACTCGATTTCTTGAAACTGCTGCAGACATCGGACGCGAAGAGCAAGAAAACGGAAAACCAGAAGTCTGAAATCGATCAGTTTCGAAAATTGATGAAAATCGAGACGAAGGATAAAGAGGAAATCTCAGACAATCTGCCGGTTGAGACGCGCGAGACGAGAGTGAAGGGACGTATGGCGACAAAGGTGTTCTTCGCTTACTTCAAGGCCAGCAAGAAACCCTTCATGATTACATTGATGCTACTGATCTTCCTGATGAGTCAGATTATCTCCGGTGGAAGCGATTACTTCGTCGCATTTTGGGTGAACGTCGAGACGAATTCGTGGTATAGAACTGAGAACGATACAACGGAGTTTATCTGGGCCGGTCCTTTGACTCGCGACTCTATGATCTACACTTACAGCGCCATGATAGCGACTATAGTGCTTCTGTGGCAAGTCCAGACTGTGGTGTACTTCAACGTGTGCATGTGGGCGTCGATAAATCTGCATTCCGACATGTTCCGCAGCATATTGCGCGCTACTATGTACTTCTACAACATCAATCCGGCTGGCCGTATATTAAACAGGTACATCAGTAGTAATAGTAATAATAATTACATTAATAGTGATAACAATTGCAAGTGCATTCTTGAAAACAGTTGCACAAGGAAAAAAAATATTTTTTGTTTTAGATTCGCCAGGGATATCAATATCGTCGACTTACTGCTATCGATGTGTATATTTGACATCATAGTAATCAGCTTGATCTTAGTCACGGTGGTGATCATGGTCATAGCGATCACTCCGTGGCTGGCCATACCCACGGTGATTTGTAGTTGCATTTTTATTTACTTGCGCAAGATATACATCCGCACCAGTCGCAGCATCAGACGTTTAGAAGGAACAAGTAAGTGAAATAAGACACATTGATATCATACATTTACAAAGGCTACAAATAACAAAACAATATTCAGCTCGTTCGCCGATCTTCGACCATCTAAGCGCATCGTTGCAAGGTCTGACGACGATAAGAGCTCACAACGCCGAGGAGAAACTAATGGAGGACCTGTGCACTCATCAGGATCTTCATTCGTCCGCCTGTTTTCTCTATTTGGCTACTTCTCGCGCCTTTGGTTTTTACGTCGACATAATCTGTCAAATTTACATCGGAGTGCTCATCATGATCTTCACGTTCTTAGATCTAGCTGTGGTGGGCAACATCGGTCTGGTCATCACGCAGATCATGTCGCTGACGAATCTGCTGCAGTTCGGAATCCGACAAACGGCGGAGATGGAGAGTCACCTGACCTCGATGGAGCGAATTCTCGAGTACAGTAGTTTGGAAGAGGAGCCGATGATCGACAGCAAGCCGGAAACCAAACCGCCGGATGACTGGCCGACTAAGGGCCTCGTGGAATTCGAGAACGTGTGCTTAAAATACAGTAAAGAAGGCACGTATATTCTGAAGAACATCAGTTTCATCGCCGTGCCAAAGGAAAAGATCGGAATCGTCGGTAGAACCGGCGCCGGAAAGTCTTCCCTGATCAACGCTCTTTTCCGTCTCGCCTGTGTCGAGGGAGAGATTCGCATAGACGGTGTGTCCACCGACAGAATCGCTCTGCAAGACTTCCGGTCGAAGATCAGCATCATCCCGCAGGAACCTTTCTTGTTCAACGGTAGTCTACGACAAAATCTCGATCCTTTCGATCAGTATTCCGACGTTTTGCTGTGGCAAGCTCTCGAGAATGTTAAACTGAAAGAGACGATCGCGAGCATGGCCGTCGGATTGAACACTAAGGTGTCCGACGGAGGATCCAACTTCAGCGTCGGTCAGAGGCAACTGTTGTGCCTCGCGCGAGCCATCATTAAAGACAACAAAATCATGGTGCTGGATGAAGCGACCGCCAATATCGATCCTTACACGGATTCGCTTATACAAAAGACGGTCAGGACGAAATTTGTCAACTGCACTGTGTTCACTATAGCTCATAGATTGAACACTATTATGGACAGCGACAGAATATTTGTGATGGATGGTGGATGTCTTGTGGTAAGTGTAGAAGTGACAGAAAATATAAACAATTAAAAACCAACGATTTCTTAAATTAACAAAAGTACAACGTGTGTGAAGCAAGTGATTAAACATCTAATTAAACATTGAATCTTCAGGAAGTCGATCACCCATATATTCTTTTACAAGAGAAAAAACGTTTCTACGACATGGTGCAGCAAACAGGTCCCGCAATGGCGGAAATTCTTATCGACATAGCAACAAAAGTAAGAAATAAATGTTTAATATTCGTAGTCGAATTTTTTTATTGTATAATAATTATTAGCTGCAGTAATAATTATTTAATGAAAAACATATGCGAGAACATTTTGCAAATCATTCTTATAAAGTTTTTATTAACAATATAATTTTTCGTAATTATTTACAGAGTTTCTATGAAAAGGACAGATCATCATCCGGATAATCTTTCCGCGCTTCTATTTATATAGATACATATATATATGTAAAATTTATATAGCACCTTGATTTTTCAGCAAACATTAGTGAAATCTTACACAAAGAGTTTTACGAGAGTTTCATATTATGAAATTTATAATACAGAAATTCTATACGATATATATAAAACAAAAAATGTATACATCCATATATATAATATATATATGATATAAAATAGTTTTGTATGTTTGGTATACAAGTTTTTTATATGACTTGGGTACCTATTTTGAAATTTTTTGATTTTATTCGATTTTTTTTTTTTTTCAAAAAAAAAAAAAAACGACAAAACACAAAAGTGACTTTAAATAATTTCATAATAAGTACCCTGTATTATGTGTTAATAAAATTATTATACAACATTTGTAATTCGAGTTTTTATGTGACTGTGTAAAAATTCATAAAAATGACTTCATCAACAACGTCAAATACGTATTTGTATTTTTTCACACAGTCTAGTTAGAGCTTAATAAATATGTACATTTTAATACGTTTTTTTTTTTATGTTTGATTATATATCACGATTATAACGCAATATATATAATTGTATGTATAGAATTATATAACTTTATGCCAACGCGCGATAAACATATTTATGAGATATTGTATATGCAATCGAAAAACAACTATTTATAATACTTTGTTATATTTTGTACACAAATAAATTATTTTTTATAGCATTTTATCAGTTTTAAGTAGAAATCTATGCCGTTTTGTGAACAATTTTATTGTAAAAATTACGATTTGCGCATCCACAAACACATATATCCGCGATAATAGTTTTTGAACTTTTCTCGGTAAAAGAACTATAAAATATAGAATTCACGGATTCTTTCCTCTTTTTGTTAGTTAATTTGTTCTTTTTTTTTTATCAAATTGCAATTTGTTCAAATAATATGGCTGATATGCTTAAAATTTTTCGTTGTAAAAATCAGGTATTTTGATACAAACACAACTAAAATTTATATCATTGACATGTGTTATTTGTATGTAGATACAAAATTTGATTTTTTTTCCCTCATTTTTTTAGTTAAAAACATATCTCTTTTAAACAAAAATAAAGATTTCGAAAGGCCTTCTGCAGTTTTATAGAAATATCTCGTTGCAAAATACCTCCATTTTCAATCGACACTCTTTAATCTCGATCATGAGAGTAAGAGACAGAGATATGTATTTATATAAAATAGAGAAATAAACATCTAATGTTGCGATTTATTCTTTCTAATTAAGTTTTTTTTATTTATCCAATTTTATGACGAACGCTTCTCCGGGGAGGACGGTAAGTTCTTTAAAGTACACATCTCGATTTATTCTATATTTAGGGCCTACAACAACGTAACCACCGTAATAAAGAGACGACAAATCCTTTTTACGCGTCTCGTTACCGAAGTTGGCCACAAACACGTAAGAATTTCTTCGCGGATACCACCGTTCGATCACGATCATGTCATCTTCCGCGTATCTAAACATAAAATAAATAAACCTATATATTAGGTCTACCGGAAAGTTCTGTCCGTTTTTGGAATAAAACAAAATACAAATTTGTCTTAATTTTTCAAAACTGGGATATACAAATTGCCCTCACGCTGGTAAGAAATTATTAATAATAATGGCAATTATATTATTTAATAAAGTTTATTGACGGTAAAGAAAAATTTGTATTTTGTTTTATTCCAAAAACAGACAGAACTTTCCGGTAGACCTAATATAAGTTAATGAAAAGTAATCAATAAAAATTCTGGGAGAACATTACAGCGACAGAAATATTATGTAAAAATTATTTTCAAATTCCAAGGAAGAGAAAAGTAAGAGCTTTAAAACGTGCGTAAAGAGGAAGAGAAGCTTTCCCTTGTGAAAGAAATTAATGCATCGCGGTAAACTGTAACTATGAGAAATTTCACTTCTCTCAAGAAACTTTACCTAACGTCGCAATTTGCCGTAATTTGATTTTCTCTGAGCACCGCTTTGACGTAAATCGGCGTTGTTTCCGTTCGCAGTCTCGTCATTTGCGTAATGGCACCCTTCAACATAGTTTCCGTTGGTTTCCTAGCTTCCGGTAACCAGGTCGTGATTCCCATGGGCGAAAAACTGCTATCGGAATTGTCCTTCTTTTCCCAATACATAGGAACTAAATTATGCACGTGCGCCAAATCTTTGTGATCTTGACACTCACAATCTTCAATACCTATCTGTGGATGTGAAATAAAAATTAAAAGAAAACAATTAAGAGATAATGATTAAATAACATATAATAATAATTAAATGTTAATTATTAACCTCGCGCTTATAACAATCATCACTTTGATAATGACACAACTTGTACCTCATCTCCGTAAAATATACTGGGTGTTCCGGGTAGCATCATGTTCAAAAGAGAAGCCGCTATAGTGGCGTTCTTCACGCTCAGGGTGGAAGCCATCCTGTTGGAATCCACGTTGCCCACGGACCAGTGTATCCACGGATAACCGGGTTTGTCGAAGAGCACACCGTTCATGACGCTGTCGATTTGCGCCTTAATATCCTTCGTACTGTTCGTCAAACGAAGAATCACGTCGATCAGATCTATTCTGGCCAAGATGGTGTTTCTCGCGGCCACGGAAATCGCGGCGTCCAGAACGTTCATGTGACACATGAGAATACCGCTCGGAAGTACAAGGGACCTCCAGTACTTGAGATAGTTCACGAACGTGTCCTCGTTGACGTAGTGCTCCAATCCCTTCAAATAAAACCCGTCCACTCCTCTTTGCTTCCAGATCTTGATAGCTTCAGTGACGAGGTGTCCTTGATAGGAATCCGCGGGATTGGACGAAAGCGCCTGCTTCATCATCTCTTCCAGCGGCGGTGATGGGACGGACGACAAAATGTCGCCAATTGCTTCAACCGACGTGGTCGATGCGGACGGATGCAATACGCGGATCATCGCGTCGTTCGTAACGTCTCGTCTGTTCCGAATCGCTTGTTTGGTCTCGTTTGTTTTTGCGACGACGGGCGCCGCTTCGTCGTTCGAAATCTTCACGTACGGATACAGAGGCAAGTCGAGAACGATGCTCATATTTCGCATATGAATCTCCCGCACGAGCACGGAAAAATCCTCCAGCGTGCCCAGCTCCTTGTTCACGTCCGTCATGTTGCTGATGTCCGAGTAATATTCCGGGTAATGCGACGCCGGGAAGATCGAGTTGAGTCGAACGACTCGCACCCCGAGGTCCTTCAGATAGTCCAACCGCGTGACTATCCCGCGTAAATCGCCGATCCCGTTGGCGCCTTTCATCGAATCTTGGAAGGACGCCGGGAATATTTCGTAAAAGGTGCTGCCTTGCCACCATTCCACCGCTGGATCACATCTAATACAGATTGTTTCACATAATTTAATGGACAAAGTTTTGTAATTTTTTTTTGTAAAGTATATGAAGAATATTAAAATATATTTAATATTTATTATTTTTTCATTTAATATCTTCATTTAATATCATATAAGATTGTTCCTTTCAATCGCGATCTTTATCGACTTACTCATCTTACGTTGTACGCAAATAAAGTAGCGTATCGGATACTTGCTTCTTAGGCATCGTGGCGATAATGCCGATAACAAGCGCGGCGCATCCGGTCAGAATCGACATCAGCGACCAGTAACACGTTTTCCGTATCAACGGCCAGTTCCATTTCATGAAACGGTAATCCTTGGGCGGTTTCGGGACCACCAGATGTATTCCGACGAGCGGCGGCATGCCACCGTTCTCCTGGTTGTAAAACTAAACAGTTACGACGTGAGTACATTATGACGATGTTAGAAAGCGGAAGCGATGGAGATCAGATTAGTGATTATACACATCAGTGAGACACGTGTCACTGGAGATCAGAATTCTCTTGCGCGTCTCTCGGATTCATTCCATTCATATTTCGGAGCAGCGGGAGCGCATACAAAAATATAGAAATCGGGAGTGGCGAAAGAGGGAGCGCATCCTTGGAAACATACCTCCACCAAAGCGTGCGACGACGCAATGACACGTCGATCCTAGGGTGACCAGACACTCCTCTTTCTCAGGACGCGTTCTTTTTTTTTTTTTGCGAGGAGCTCTTGGTTGACGTTCTCGTGAATTCTGTTTTATAAATTTCCCACTTGATATTTGTGATTTTTGTATGTGTATCGTCACAATGTCGTGCTACGTATTATTTATGTGTTTGTTATAATTTTTGTTTTATATATAATTATATCATTGTCTTAATTGTCTACATGGTCACCCTAGTGATAAATACTTTCTTCGTACTGAGAGATTTTGAGTGTTCAAGCAGCTGAAAATGGCACAGACCGATGCCCGAGACACGATGTGGCTGAGAGTTAACACGTTGCGAATGCAGCTTTGGCGTAAATTGCAATCACGACGCGGCATCGTTTACGCGTGATGCATTTGACAAACTACTTCTCACTTATACATGCCAGGCAAATGTATTGTAACATGTGAATTAAGCATCATTATGCTTTTTCTCACGTCTGCGAGTAGCGATAACGGGAGGTGTGAATTTCTCGAATGATGAACATTCCATATGTCTAGCATGGACGTGTAAAGATAGAATAATAAGTAGTAATGTCGTAAGTTAGAGCTGTGTATCGAACAAAAATAAGTAAACTTTTCTTACACCAAAAACTTTTACGTTCCAAAAAAAAATTTTCTCTTCTCATTTGAAGTTTATAATTAAATCTATAGAAATTATATATATATATATATGTATATATATAATAATAATAATTCAGTTTCCAAACAGCGATATGCGTCACTTTTTCTCACATGAATTCAATAAGATTGACTTCTTACATACATATAAATCTTAAGCGCGGATTCTTGATTGAACAATTTTGTCTTTCCCGAACGCTGATCCGCGCAACTGGAAAATCCGTAGAAGTGCAAGATTTCACTTGCAAATACTCACTAAAGCTTGCGCATCGGGGGCAAGATGCTGATACGCGGTGCTCAATTGCGTCATGAGTTGCGCGCAAACGGGTTCCTTCGTATCGCTGCTGCTACCGCTGCTGGATGTGGATTCCACCATAGGATCACGTGAACTCGGTTCTGTAACATTTGATTGACAACATCATTCACACACATGCAGGAGCGAATTGTTTGCACTGCAACGTGTACAGAGCAAAATTATTTGCAATTCTGTCAAAAAATAGCATATATTATACATATGTATATATTATTATATAACATATATATAATATGTATATAAAATATTTATATAATATATATATTATATATAATAATGTATTAAAATAGTATGTAATATAAGTCTATCATGTTTCTTTTTTGTTTTTCTCTAAAAAAAAAACAAAATAGCGTAAATTTCAAATCTTTGTTAAATTTATAAAAAAATACATAGTTTAAAACTATCTTTATAAAACAATATGAGTTATTATCATTGACATAAATACCGTCGTTGTAAATAACGTGTTTAATGTGATCAAAAAAAAAAATTGCAACGCGACAGTAAAATTGATTGCCGACGCTTAAAGTGAAACTTGACCTCATCAAGACATTTTAAAACAGTCATCGGACTTACAAAGAGTGCGATTATATAAGTTCTTTGACTCACTGAGAGGCACTGTCGTATAAAATATTTCTGACATTTTTATAAGCGCGCCGCGTGTGGTTTTTTCCTTTTCGTTTAACAAACACATTTAAAGAATAAGAGACAAACTCCTACGTATATGTACGTATATACGTATATATTTAGTTCTTAATGAAACAAGATAGAGCGCGTGCGGACGCGCTGAATATGCATTACAATAGTTAGGAAAAAACGTACCATCATGTAAAGGCTTACTCGAACTGTTCACTATGTTCATAAAGCTAAGTCCGTCCTCCGTGTTAATATTCTCAAGCGTTGGCGTCGGTATTTCTGATGGAGCTTCTTCTAGAGTGTTGAATATTGGAGGAGTCTTGGCCGATTGGGTGGGTGGCGGACTCGGCGTTAATAAGGGGCAATCGGACGCTTCTTCATCCTATTTAAGAAGTTTAAATTATTAAGCGTCAGAGACGAGAGATTCCCAGAACGAATTGGAAAAATGCCGTTTGTTTGTTTGTTTTCTGATATATTAATTGTTTTTTGACATCGCGACAAAACTGGATAGACGTAAAATTGACAACCGACAGAGAAATTGCGATAATTTAGAAAACACACAAAATATATTTATAATAATTGCATCACAATAGAATGTGTAGTAGTGAGCGTAAAAAACACACCTGTTGATCTTGATTTATAAAAAGTTGTCGGGAATTCGGAGATGGCGGAAGTTCAGTCGATATGACCACCGACAAAAGATCTTCGGGTTTCTGGTTACTCATCTCTCCTAACCAGATACACATGCTTTTATTATATAAAAAGACATATTTTTACACACGTAAGTTTTTCTACAATTACACAAACTTTTAATAAACATTTTAAACTTATTAAATCGCGAAACATTTTAAGCGCGGTCTGAACATAAATTGTTTTATCGCGTACAAACACAAGTCGAACATCAATCGTAGTGATGTTTCGGATTTTTAAATCGTAAGAAATAATTGCCAAATTGAAGAATTATCATAAAAATCAAATAAAAGAATATCGCAAACGAGATTTGCAACATTGAACTAAGTTTTAAATACATTTCTGATGCTGTCAATAACACCGTGCTCATACGTCGCGCTTCTATACGAAATTATTGATCTGCGAATACCGCAAGCTAGCGCTCGGATGGTAACCTTCTTTACAAGACATCAATTGTAAGCAATAATCGACAAAATCCAATTTGTATCTGAAAAAAATTATTTTAAATTTTAACTTGTTTTTTTACTATTTGCGAGTATTTGCTATTTTTCTCACTCTGTTTCTGTGAAAAAAATTTATTTCTTAAAAAACCACTTTATTTATCTTAGTTATTGCTTATTATAATTGAGCACTTTAACTAACTATACTGTTTATTTTTCCCTTTTTCTTTTTTTCTATATATTTTTTTCTATATATATTTAACGCAATAAAATATTCTCCAAAACAATATCGCGTGTAACGTGCGCGTTAGAGAAAAGTTTGTTTTACATTATTTCATTCAATGTCTTGCTCGTATTATAGCTTCATTCAGCGAAATGTAGACGGTAATAAGCTAGACATACATATATTTGCAGTCGTAAGACTGAAATTAAAACCGGAGACACGTGAGCATGAGCAATTTTGTGTCAACACAGATAATCTTAAACCTTCCCCGTTGCTTTGTTTTAAAACAATTACGCATGTACAAAGACAAGAAAACATTATTTTCAAGATTTATTTGTAATTGAATAACACAATAATGTTTAAAGAAGATGCGTTACTCAAAGCTAATATTTTAAACGTCTTTTAAACCGATGTCTCCTTCAACAGCGGTTTTTTTCTTCTCTCTCTCTCTCTCTCTTTTTCTCTCTTTCTCTCACGTTAAAAATTTCCATAAACACACAGTCTTTCATGAATAAAAAAAACTTCACACGCACTTATATATTTACCTTACACACGTACATTAAAATAGTAGAATCTCAAAAGATTTACCTACGGCTTGAATTACGCGAACGCAGCAATGTGACAAGAGTCCGAATTCCGGTGAAGAAAAGCTCTGTCAAAAATAAAACTCTTCAGAAGACACACTTATTTGCGGACGCGTTCGCCTGGGAAAAGTTCACCACCCCGTTTTCCACAATCGGCCTTTGAGAGAGGCAACAAGAGACGCGCGTTCACGATTACCGTCGTACACGAAGGCGATGAGGATGACGATATTGGACATCGATGGTGATTCAGGCGATGACCGACGCCGCCCTCATGCCGCCGTAGCAGACGGTATAGTAGTATAGAAACCGCGTGTCTCGTCGCTATTATATTTAGCAATGCAATATTGTTTCGTTCCCCTCTGACCGACTGTCGTCCACCCAGGCCGACTGATTCTGCTTCACCACGATTCTGCGCTCTAAGAGGAACGTGGCACGCGCGTGCGGTTTATCACGCAATTGTAAAGCGAAACCGATATATATATGTATATATATGACATTTGTTTTTGGTGTACAAAATATATATAGTATAACAAGAAATTTTGAAAATTGTTTAAAAGCTTTTTCATCTTTCTTCTCTCGCTGAAACTGTTCTAATATATAAAAAAAAGGTAAGATTCAAACTCCAAATAATAAGCAGTTGAAAATAATATCAATCTTTGAACTACGTTAAATTTGATTTGCAATTTGTTTCTTGCACAAAGTATTTTTTTATTACGATTATATAGTGATAATTTTTTATACAATTTTATTGTTTTAGTATGATATACTTTACATAATTGAAAAACTATAAACCATACAGCTAATGTAAAAAATGTGTTATTATGATACATATTTGAAAAAATAATGTCCAAATGTTATGAAAACATAAATAATTACTTTGAGAAATTACGTCTAATTTTTTAATATAAAATAATATTATAAATGACTTGTTTTTGTTAAAAAAATGACAATATAAACTTTTTTATGTAAAAATAAATGTAATTATAAAAAATAAAAATATTTTGTAAGTACAACTCGATGTGATAACTTGTTATTATTAAGATAGAATGCATTTTTCTTGTTTCTCGGTAGTGCTTACGTTCTGCCTTTTTCTTATATATAGTAGTTCCGAAACTTTCGGAGTTAGAGGTTCCCTCGAGTCACACCACGGAGCCACAATCGGAGTCCCTAGTGACTCACTTGCTCTGAGGAAGGTCCCTGGACCCGTGGCAGAAAGTGTCGTAGCTTGATGCTATCAGCCTCCACCGTCTTCGCGAATTTTAGGATGGGAAGCTTCGGCTGATCCTTCGTGATGGGTGTGAGTTGTGTTGGTCAAAGCAAAGTTATGTGTGTTAAAACGCGGTTTTTAAGTCTCTGATTTCTTTCGGAGATATAGAATCGCGTTTAACAAAACAGGGCCTACTGTCACGAGGAAACTTCGACATTTTTTTTTTTGAAAAAATTTATATACCTGTATAAACTGTAAAGTTTTCGTAGCAAATATTTATAACACATCATAAAATAAAAAGCTGTTACTATTAAAAAAAAGATTCGGTAACACAGAAAAATATATGATTTGTTTAGTGTGACACGCTATAAATATTGATAAGGAGTATAGAATTGACTATTTAAAATCTACAAATTGCTTGCAACTTCCTCAGGCTCTTATTCCAAAAACTAACGATTTATTACATGTTATTATGCAATGAAAACATTTTGATTTGTCACGAAAAACTTACTACTGTGCTTAAGCAGTAATCGAATTGACCACTCAAGCAAGCTTTAAGGAAAATATTTCAGACGTTCTTTATACATCGTGCGCCTGTGATTAGCCAATTCGCTTGGGGCTTTTTTGTATTCTCGACCTAACATAACATTAAATCTGTGTACGCATGTACGTCAAGAGACGTACATACACAACTGTGTTGTTTGCTAACGTCAACTCTTGCGTGATCTTATGTTAATTTATCGTCACCCCAGTTGACTTTAGTTTTAACTGTGTTTGGACATCTGTTTAGTGTCTGTCGCGAAAGTGCGTTCAACAGATTCGCTCTCTCAGTTTGGTTCAAAATCATTTGTCGTCAACTGGAGTTTTATAGAGGTTAGAACAGCTGATATTCCATGTATTCTCGCGCTAATGTATCTTTAGCTGTTCAGCAGAACACCAGGTTGAGCTGTCTTATCAACACTCGTTGTTGGTTCTAAAAGTAAGAGCCAATCACGTTTGAAAGCTTGATCTGCTGAACGCAGAGAATATAAATTTCAAATATTGTATTTTAATGCTATCTCTGATATATTTTTCATATATACTGTATATTTTTGAAGGAATGTTTTGAAGAACTAGTGAAGAGAAAAAAATAAATACAAAACTGTCATTTCTAAAGAAAAAACGCAAGAATTCCATTAAATAAAAAAAAGATGCAAGGAATTAGCTGTTCGTTAATTTCGACACACCTGCGTCAATTGCCGCGTTCGCATTTTGGAGGTATGAAATTTAACAAAAAAAGAAAATACCGAGTTTTGTATCTGGTGAAATAACAAAAAGAAAAGAATCGCATGTGGTTTTCTTTTTGTTGTCAAAAGGATACGTCCGTTTGTTCTCATCCAAAAGCACGGATGTGGATAGCGAGAGTCCGAGATTGCGTGAGTTCAGAAAAAAATTGCGCGAACGTACTCCCATAGGTATGTTTTAATTGCGCGTACTGTAACTTCTTTAATAAGTAGACAGAATAAAATACACTTAACAGAGCTAAGATCTTACTGATGTGAACAGAGAAATTAGATGAATTAGAAGAAGGCAAGCATCCTTATCAAGAGAAAGAACCTTTGAAACCGTTCCCGAACAACACAAATCCAAAAACGGGCGAAGTTGGGGGCCCTCGTGGACCGGAGCCAACTCGTTACGGCGACTGGGAAAGGAAGGGTCGTGTTACAGATTTCTAGAATAATGTATTACTTTAAAATAAACAGTTTGTTACTAATATATATAACTATTTTTTAAAAAATATTCTTGAGTAAATAGTATAAAAAATGTACATATACATTTTATCATAAAAAATATTAAACATTTTGTAAGATAAAAATCAAAATAAACGAATTATGAAGCACAATATCTTCATATTGCTTACTGTAAGTGTCCATCTTACTGCCGATTTCTTCATATCTCCCGATGGCTATTTTCTGTGGATAAAGATAATACAAAAAGATATACTTTATCTAAAAGATAAACTACATATTTTTGTATATCTTTGTCAAGAGTATCGAGAACTTATCAGAGGCGAAGAAATTGGGCATTAGTCACGTAAACATTTTGATTTACAAATAAATACTTGAATCTTTTTTTTTTTTTTATCAGAAAACAATTTGCAGTACATGCAAATGCCGTACATGTACATTTTGATAGTGTTTTATTAAAAACGATAGTGTTTTATTAAAAACAAAAATAAGATAAATTAATAGTGTTATATATCGATGTCACATGGTCCGAGACTAAACGTGTTGTCTCTTGCAAAATAATTTATAACAATGATTCGCATAAGCCATATTCTGGCAAATCTACAGATCAGAAGCTGCAGACAAATTTTTACAGGTAAGAGAATGAGATTTAATATTTCTTAGAATATATTAGGTTTCTCTATGAAATATATTTTTGCAATCAACGTAGACTATTTTTGCCTCTATTATATATCGTTTTACATATTATTTTTCCTGTAAAAAGCATAAAAAATAAATTTCCTTACATAGGCGCTTCGTTATTAAAAACCACCAATGAACAGTCAAGCGAATTCTTAGTAAATGAGAATGAGTCGCCGCGAATGAAACAGTTTCACGAAAAACTCGAATTACAACCGATACCAAGTACGCAATAGTACTCAAAACAAAGTTTGTTAATATCTAACTAATAAATGAACTCTTATTTCTTAAGTTTTCACAAAAAACGTGATTGATCATGTTTCTCAGAATTCGATACTTTTATATTAAATTTCTCTTTTGATTAACAGAAATAGGACCACGGGAGCGATTCGTGGACTTGGTGTTAGTAAACGTCGATCCGAAAACCGGAGAACTGATACCAGATAGCGAGAAAGAGCCTACCAAGTGGGGCGATTGGCAGCATGGCGGTAGAGTCAGTGATTTCTGAAGATTGCGCATACTTTTCGCAAAATGTGTTTACATACAGACAAATGTATTTAAGTTTTTCAGAAAAGTCACTACGAATTTTTATTAACAATGACATTCCGTGTATCTGGTATAGTATTAATTAAAAAAAATGTTGCTTCCAGAAAACACTATAATCTTATGTTTCCGGCACGCTATGATAATCTGCGCAAAAAACTCACGTTTTTATCATTTTTACCAGAGTTAATTAATATGTTACATGTATAAAAATATGCAATACTTTATCACAAATACTGAATAATGCGCATGTTGGAGAATTATAACAAACGTATACATCAGAGCGATTAAATTTCTTGCTACCATATTGAGTACAATCTATAAAAACGAATACAAAACCAAATCGTTAATAAATATCAAAGTATATCAAAAACAATCTTGCTTTCACTAACGTGCGACTGAAAGATTTAATAAGAACTTAATTTGTATTTGCATCGGCGTAGTGTATTCTTTTTTTTTCTTTCTTTAGTAGCGGCAGAAATTTTTCTAGCCGAGATATATAAGTGTTTACAGCTACTATATACATATATATATATTATATATATATATATATATATATTATATATATATATATATATATATTATATATATATATATATATATGTATGTACGCGTGTACTTAATTGTTCATGTAGAAAAAGAGCGTAGTCAACTCTACAAATATATCAAGAAATATATGTACACAATACTGTAAAAATTTCGTTTTTTTTTGTGTACGCTAGAGTGCGCGCGCGCGCGTATTTCGAAAAATTCTTCCAGTCATATCGAAAGTTCTGAAAAAATAATATACCAAAAGATGCGTACAGAGCATGCATAAGAGATACAGATTTCACTTTTTTTTTTTTTTTTTTTTTACTTTAGAACAATAATAAATTAAATCATTTGATTTAATCTCGCTGTCTTCAGTATCGACAATGTTAAAGTATCGATGAGAAGAGCTCAGCGTACTGTGCATTATCAGTACATCTCATCTCGCGCGGATTATATTGTAGTTTCTATATACAGATACAACTTTTCATCATATGTTTTTTTTAATACAGGAAGAAACTTCAAAGTTTTATATTTTTCTTAATATAAGAATATGTATTACCTTGCGCTATACAGAAAGAGTATAAAATTTTCTTTCGAGAATTAAAAATGAAAATTGATAGATGTATTTACACGTAATGAGGAATTTCTATAATAGTACGATTTTTTTGTTATGTACACACATATCGTATATTCAAACAATAGTGTTAAAAGCGTTAAGAATCCAAATTTATTTATAGATATAAAAACAGAAGACTAAACAAACATTTATTTAAAAAAAAAAAACGAAGTTTTTTGCTAGTTGCAAGCTTAAAATTTCGATTTAAATATCTCAAACAAAATCAACTCTTTGCTCTAACTCAGGCTTGCAAAAAGTTGACACTTTTGGTCACAGCCGTGCCTGAAAGTGCAAACTCTCTACAAGCCTGTTCTAACTCAACGTTTGAAATACACATCACTAAACATAAACTTAAGAATTATGACAAAAAAATTTAAGTATTAATAAAACAAACAAAAAAAAGAATTGTTATTCTCTATTCCATGAGAGAAAGTGATCTCGATTTATGCGTCTAATAGCAACTAACGGCGAACTATTTATGTAGCGCAATCGACACATCACCGTTTAAATGTTAGTTTACTTATTGCCTGAATGGGTATAATTTTTCTAAGAAGGAACATGTGCACCAGACGAAAAATCGAGGACAGTTCTTATAGAATAGAGCATAAATATAAATTATTTATAGAGTCTCAAATGATTGAAGTATCATCAGTCTTTCATCTATCATCACGGATCTCTATGTAATAATGTAGGTTGCATGTTGCGCGGCAAAAATTATAAAAATCTTTAATAGTTTATAAACTATAAAGTTTTATTGATGGCCAACACATCCCGCATCATCATGTTTCTCAGTGTCCACAAGGCGTTCACTACATTACCGTGATTACCAACGCCATTTCCCAGCCATTCGGCGGGTAGCTTCGTCATGTCGGGAATCTGAGTGTTATCGGGACTGGCATTCATTTGCTTGTCCCAATTTGATATGTAACGATTCTCCACGTTTAATCCTTCGATGTACCTGCGCAAGTTGAAAAACAAACAAAACCGATATAATTTCAAAGTGTAATGTTAGTCTCTCTCTTCTACGAAAGATATTTTAGATCTTGACTTATATTCTATACCTTAAGTAGGCGTCCGAGTGTAATACGCGACTTGGTCTAGGTGGTACTGCAACAAACATCGGTTCCGGTTGCTTAGCGGCAGGCAAGTTGCTTGTCTGAGTTGCTGCGGCTGAAGTTTCTACGGAATAGTTTTTTGTTCTTATTCGTGTTTGTATATACATAAAATACATGTACTAAATAAGGTTAAAAATATACTTTACCTGTTTCCATCGGCGGTAATACCGTAGGTCCTTTTGACGGCATGTAATTTCTGCAAGAAAATATAATTACACATACACATATGTCACTTCTATTATGTACAAAAAACGGAGAAAAAACACATACTTGCTTCTTTCGGAAGGTGGTATTATACGTCCATGCGACTTGAGAATATGCACTTCTTTCACATGCCTTGCGAGTCTCTGTACACTTGGAAACGGCGGAACAGATTTCTTTGTTCTGCCACAACCGCGCCATTGGCACTGATACTCCACATCTGTTCCAAATTGAATTTTGCATTTTATTTTCCATGTGACCACACACGCGTAAGGCTATTGATTATACAATACTTACCACTAGGTGCATTGACGAACGACGACTGAACGTGACCATTTTGCTCCGCGATGCAATGATCGATGCAATCGGTCATGTCCTCGAACTGCCAGTCGCAGTTGTCCCAACAGCATTCGTACACTACATCTTGCGTGGCGTTTGTGCCGACCGAAGCCGTTCCTTTTATTTGGCCACCGTCCTCGTTCATTTTGATCGCTCGCTCCTCCCAGGCTTGCTTCTCTCCCGCCGGCAATCTCCTCCACTGGAACGAGAGTTTTACGTGATCGATTCTGTTACGTTTTAACTTTGATAAACAGTTTGACGAAGTTTAATAGCTTCTAAATATATTTCACAATTATTTTCAGATACGATGGCTACTCTCTTCACGAAAATTCGATAAGCAGATAACGTTTATAACATCCAAAATAATGACACATATGTATTCTAATAATTTGTATTAAAATCCAAAGTGTATTATATATATATTCTAGATATTAATGAAGTACAGACACAGTATAAAATTCAATGCATATATATATATATTCACACAGAATTTATAAAAGTTATATATGCTACTTAGAAGAGTATAAAAGAAAGACTATTATGCAACTTGCACACAAATATCTATATTTATAGAAAGTAGCCAGTAAAGATACAAATTTGTTTAGATAAAGGATCAAGTATGCTGAATAATATTTTTGAGATGATGTATTCAAATGTATACATTATATCGCATCTAACTAATCGTGTTCTCTCGCGCTTATAAATTCTCTTCGCACAAAATCGATCAAGATTTTTACATAGTTCAACAAATTTGACGCTCGAGAACAACAAACACACGTATATACACACACAGTCATGTATGAGAAAATTTATTCTGCATACATTCCTTCATCAAATATGTACATATATATATTCTCGACAATAAACAAAAATCAACAATGGAAAAAAGAAATAAATACCTCATTGCCAACAATTCTGCTAATCTCCCCGAAGGACGATTCAGGATAGTTTTGTGTAATCTGCGTTCGCATTTTACTCGAATACAAAATATAGCCCGTAACTAATTTCTTACCGGCCGTTTTCTAAACAGAAGAAAAACCACAAATTATAATGTCACTTTTCTTTCTTAATGTGAACGAACACACATTTTGCCTAAGTAGCTGAGTAACATCAAATTGTCGATCTATTTGTTGAGATAAATGGTGTTTTTACAAACGATACAACAACAACAAAAATTAAATAAAAACAAAGTATGTATGCTGGCATATTTCTCTAAAACAAAAGAAAAGTGAAATAAACGAAATTGTGACGTGTGACAAATATTTAATAAAAAGTGAAAAAAATAAAAAATAAAAAAAATAAAAACAAGAACAAAAAAACAAAGTGGTCACGATAAAGCCTACCTTTTTGGTCGATACAGGTGTTTGAGTATTGGAGAGCACCGGTTGAGCTTCTGCAGATCCAACGGATGGTGGACCACCAGCATCCATGCTGTCCTCCCCAACTCCTACTCCCACTCCCACTCCCAATCCTACCCCCATGCTTAGTACATCTGGTTCCAGCTTCGGTAACAATGGTGACGCTTCCTATACCATTTATGCTTATGTTACCTTCATATTATCCGTTACTACCGGTTGTGAAATATAAAATTTTTCACGATTCGGTTTTTGCCAGATATGCAGACAGAAAGAGTTAATTAGAAACAAAGCGTTTTTTCTCTTTCTTTTTTGTTCGTCTGAGGATAATTATATTGAGACACGACACACTTTTATTCTCCCTCTTGATAATTACACTCCGTTCACTTCGATCATATTCCACATATCTAATCTATTTATATCAATAGTGACGAGACAAACAGTCGTTCTTGAATTTGTTATCGTCAATGTGTACATATACGCATGTATAGTCAACGTACGCATACACAGATAGAAAAACATGTATGCCTATCAGTTCGATCTTTTTTTTTTACGAACAAAATTAGTTGAGTCTAAAGCAAAATTCTTCAGTCTTATATTAGTTGGGTTAGAATGACATGGAAGCACAGTCTCTTTTTGGTGGTGCTTTCATAATAGATTATTAGCGATAAACCCAACAGGTGCTCTGACTTAAAATTATATATATATATATATATTGAATATATATATATATATAAAATTGCTCGATTATATAAAATATTAACACATATATAGTTACAAATAATCAAAAAAGAAAAAGAAACATGAATATATGCCGGCATAGATCGAAAACATGCGTGTGGATGCATTCTGCTGATACGACAAAATATCTGTATCACACGCAAATAAATATTTGTGCAATTGAAAATCGAAGGAAGAAGCATGCTTTTGTTTTTTGTTTTTTTTTATTTTTGCGACAGTGAAGTTAGCGATCGGATTCTTCTAATGTATCGGCTTGCGTGTGATCTCGACTAAAAACGTGCGTCTCTCATATTGCTCGTTATTAAAGAAACAATAAATAAATATATATATATATACATATATATATATATACATATTTATGTACGATTCTGTGATTAGTAATTACCATTTCAAACTGGGCCGAGCTGGGCGTGACGGGCTTGACTTGATTTTGCGTCTGAGCCACATCGCTCGAGATCTACAACACACACGTCAACATGCAAAAGCGATAATAACAGTTAGTCGCATAGAACGAATACTAGATTGTATTCTATTTCGCCATTTGCAGAATATAGATTACTGTATGCGCTTTTGTGTGTTAAGTGATATACTCGATTTTCAACACATACTTTGGCAGGATTAATCGGTCTTCGAAAAAAGAAGATTTCATCCTCGGTCACTGTCGGCGAATGATTGAACTTCTTCAAACCTTCCGGACCTAATTTCTTTATTAAGTTTTTGCTCTCGTCATACAGCGATTCGCAAATGAACACGTCGTCTTCTGGAATCTCTGTCGGTCTGCCTGAAATCGCGATAAATAAACGCCAAATTAGTGGCTCGTTAATTTTCTCTCTGTGTCGAGAACTGCAAACATAGCGAATACTCACTACACGTATATTCTCCGAAATCCAAAACAGCACATTTTCCAACAATAGCTACAATAGGATGAGTACCGTCTACGGTGGATAAAAACAATTCTTGTTTATAAAATAACTTCGTAGGTGTATGTGGCACTTCTGTGGGCATCAACAACCATGGACCTTTGAAATAACATTTCCCGCTGAAAACACAATGCAATACATTATAAATAATTACACTCAATATGTAGAAACAATGAAACTATTCTATTGAGAGAACTGATTCCTTACTCTTTGGTAGACCATATAGCATCGATTTGTGCTATTTGTTGCCTGCCTCCGTCTGTTGCTACGTAAACAAAATCGCCGGTTTTTACAGGACCCGCGCATGTATTGTACTGTTCATAATACGTGTTTTCCGTATCATCCGGATTATATAATATTACATTCTGTATAAAAAAATATATTTATTATAAAATTTTAATATAAAGGAATTTTGAAGGAAAAATATTTTCCGAAAAAAAAGTTGACTACTCACAGGTCTTTCTTTCTCCGACAATTTTTCCCCCTCTTCCAATTCTGCAATTTCTTCTTTGTGTTTTTCTAATCTTTCCTTATATACAGAGATCACTCGCTTCGGTTCTAGAAGTTTCTCTCTCGGGATCAGCTTCAAATGATCGGGATCAAAATTCCAAACCTTGATCTTCTTGAAAGCTCTGGCTTTCGTGGAGTAGCGTGATTCGCACACGTAAACATCTTTTTCGAGAAATCCCTCAGGCTGCATACGGAAATAATCTTTGACACTTAAAACGCAACATCTGCCAGCTACTTTCGCTAACGGTACCGCAACATGAGCATCACTTTTGAATAATTCTTTATCTAAGAATTTTCGCGACGCCACATGATAGGTCTCGCTTGGTCTGTAAAATAAATTCCCGTACAACATTTGCTGGCCTTCCGAATTTGTCCAAAGCCTCTCTATGAGAACCACACTGTACTCCATGCCTCTTTCCGTAGGTTCAATGTACGCAAAATCGCCAGCTCTGTACACTTCCTGATTGAAACTCATAGAACCTCCATTATCACTATTTGTTTCGGCATTTGTATTTGTATCAGAATCCTAAAAATGATAAAATCACTTAAAAACCAATTGTTTAAGTAATTTTATTATTTTTAGAATTATAATACAAAAATAAGATATACAAGTAAAATCGTAATACAAGTAAAAAACTTATATATAATAATATATGACGTCTAAAATTTATACCAATTTAAATATTTAATAAGAAAGAAAAACGAAGAAAAAAGTTTAAACTATATGAAATATTAAATCTTGCGTAAAATTGCAAAAGAGAAAGAAAAATATATATTGTAAGAAAAAGTTTAACTCACTTTTGTTTCATTTCCATCACAGCTCTCATCTTCGTTAGGTAAATTTAATTCCTGTTGCTGTTTGATTCGTTTCAGTTCTGTAACTTGAGAAGACAGGTCGATGAGCGTATAATTTAGCGCAGGCGAATGTAACAAGTCACGCGTTGCTTCATCACGAGTGCGTAAAAAAAATGCCTGAAGCTCCACGCTGTCCTCAAACGGTTGTGAGTCTGTGCGCGATAACTTTCGTGCTCTCTCTAGGCATGTAAAGACATCTTCTTGAAATCGATCCAACCTTTTGTAAACTCCTCTGTCCAATCTTCTTTTTATTAAGTCCAATGACAATCCTCGTATCCTATTTTTGTGCGTAAAAAGTTTTTGTATTATATATATATATATATATATATATATATATTTTAAAAAGCCATAAATATAAAACTTTCTAAAAAGAAAACAGAATTTAAACTATTTAAAATACATTCATACTTTTTGCCATCAACAATGTCATGCTCTGGAAGTTCTGCCATAGAATCCGAGTAACATCTTCCCTCTTCATCCTGATGATTGTAAAGTGCGGTGAATATTGTTGCCAATAATTCCTGTATAGCTGCTGGCACATCAGGAACACTCTCATCATCCTCACTCAACTGGATTTTGCTTTGCAACACTAATCTTTGAAGAATTAAAGCGTCCTAAAAAAAAAAATGCCGACTTTTAATCGTTTATATTCGTTTATCTTACAGTTTATTTACACTTATATATGCTCCGATAACAGTTTTCTACAAATTAAAAACCATTATTAAAACATCACGAAACAATAGATTTGTTTACTTCTGTGTCATTCTTCTTAGATCTTTTTCGTATGTGTTCATCTAACTCCTTGTCTCTCAACAGGCGTATGAAACACGATCGAACGGATTTTGTTGGATTTTGCCCAGCGTCAATATTGGGCGCATCTTGATTAATATTTTGTGTAAACATTCTTGGGATTTACATTCAAAAAAAATCGTTATCGGAAAAAACGAGGAAGCACTTTGTATAATAAAACTTATTCCGGAAGATCGCGAGAATCGCGAATGTAAAAATGCATTAAATTGTCAAAGGTTAAAATATTATTATTATTACACAAGCGATCGATACATTGTGCAAACTTTTAAATTTAATTCGATGATCCTAATACGCCGTGCACGTGTGTTTCACAAGTTTGCACGAAGCGCGCACCCTTTGACATTCTTTCGGGAAAAGGGCTTCGCGCGAAACGAGAACTGGAACAAACCGACACAAAGTCTCAAGAGGAAGCCTCGCGACGTAACCTCAAACCTCGGATCATAAACAGATTGGTCTTGCCATGTTTTACCGCGAAATTTCAATCGACGTTTGCTTGCGCGCATTGTCCGTTGAGAATCATAAATGTCATATTATAATTCTCAAATTGAATACATTTTTTTTTTGTAAGGTTTAACTTCTTCAACACTTAACACCTCTGAATATAAATCAGCAAACTAACGTTATTAAGTTACTGATATATCTCTCTTTTATCAACTAGATAAAAAGAACTACTTTGTAAAAATATTCAATTCAATAACTAACACAAGATAAATTCAATTTTATATTATTTATAGAAAATGTAGAAAAGCAAAGTTAATTTTTGTTACTTTATGAGTTAAAAATATTATGCGGAATGTTAGGAACTTTTAGGTTTACTGCCACCACCTTTCGATGTGTTTTTCTTGAATTATTTACACTTTTATTTTACACATGATAAGATTTGCGTTAACTAAAATTTAAAAAATATATTTTTTGCAAAATATATTTTAAATAATAAATTATCTCTTATACGTATTCATTGTTCTATGTGATGAAAAAGTGCTCGCATGCCATCAACTATTTGTTAACTCATAGACCAAGTCATACTGAGACTTTTCAGAGAAACAAAAATAAAGTGTTCCTCTAATATTTTTTCTAATATCAATTTCTAAACCTTTTTAGAGAAACTTTTTAAACGAGTGCTTTCTGAAATAAAAATCTTGTACAAACCTTATATATTTGCGAATCCGGTTCGTTATACTTGCACGCATTGTCGAACATTAATATAAAGTCAGAGACCAGCTCGTCCAATGTTTCGTATCCGTTATTCTTCAAAGTCGAAGCTATCTTCTCCATGTGTATCGGCTGCTTTATTACTTCGTAATAATCTGGGTATTCGTTTTTATTTGGTAATTTCATGAAAATTAACGACAATTGCCGTCCTTTTGTGTCGTGATAATCTTTTATGGTATCGTACAGGGTTCGCAACTTTTGCAGATGAAGCGGCACTACTTTTTTCGGCCTCCTAAAATAGGGGATGGCAGAAAGAAAATAGAGAAAAGAGAAAAATAGAGTCATCTCTTTTCTTGTTTTTTCTTTTTTCTTTTTACATAAATACATAACATACCCGACATTTCTAGTTGGGGTTGACGCGGCGGATTTGGACTTGGGAGTGTCGGGCAAGGGTCCTAATTCCTTTACCTTATCCATAAGAACTTTTTCCAATGTATTAGCGTCCTCGTATATCAACGAACCTTCTTCGTTATATTGCCGGCAATTATTAAACATCAACTAAAGGATGAGGCAAGACACTTGTAAGCCAGATACTTTGCTGACGTGTACCGCGATTAATTATCGATCAAGAGTAACAATATAATACAATACCTTAAAGTCCTGCAACAATTCGTTTTCATTCTGATATTTTTCCGCTTTGATATTAGCCTCGATCGCCAGCATGTCTATGGGCTCTGCTATTACTTGGTAATAATCGGGATACAATTTTTTCGACGGTTTTTCCATAAACATCATCATAGGTTGCCGACCATCTTCGCACTGTAAAACAGTTACACATATTGTATCACAAGATTAATCTCCACAAGTAAAAATGATATTTTAAAACTGTACTTTTAAAAATACTCACAACATATTCTATGACACACTTAACTAACGCATACAATCTTTTTTTCAGCGGTATGTTATCTTTATATTTTCCTCGCGTCAAAAGATTTGGAGCACGTTTGATTAATTTAGGCTGTTGCGAACTATTTTCAGAGCTGTTGTCCGAATCTGAATCCTATGATGACAAAACATATGTAAAAAAAAAAAAAACTTCTTAGTCATGTCGTTTCAAAAATATACGTGAGAATTATTGTATTCAAATGTAATATCATATAAAAAATTTTACCTGATCAAATTCTAGAAGCTCTTGTACTTTCATTTGCATTATTTTTTGCAATTTAACAGCACACTGTAATAAAAAATAGAAGAAAACAATAAGATAAGAATATAGCTTTCTTTGAATTAACAATAAATAATTACATCTAAAGCTAATATTATAGTAATAAAATATTCCCTAAATTTTGAACTGTATAATATTCTATTTATACAATTACCTTATACAATCGAGAAGTATGCATGTTATATTTCTTAGCATTTTCAAACATGATATTCATATCTCCAGCTACTTCACTAACAGTACCATATTCACCTCTCTAAAATCAATGATCGAAGTGACACGTTACGAGAATTTTTAAGAAAATATTTATATATGTGTGTGTGTGTGTGTATTATACACGTATAGATGTTACTAATACATACCTTAATTTTTGTACGTATTTGTAATAAAGATATAGGATTCTTAATCGTCTTATAATAATCAGGATATAATCTTTTTGATGGAAGTTTCCAAAAATATTCACTCATTCTTACACCTGTGTGCAACATAATATACAATATACACAAATTATCAATTAAACAATCCTTCAAATAATTGTTCAAATAATTTCATGATGCTATATAGTAAAATAATCGAACCTTGATTATTAGGAGCAGTACGAATAGTTTGAAATAGTTGCCATTGCGGATTATCAGCCTCTTCAGTTTCGCCAGGATCCTCTTCCTCGTCGTCACTCTCGTCATCTTCGTCCGGTAATGCCGCAGTTTGTGCTATTAACGCTTGTGCCATAGTGCGATTACCTCTCTTGCTTCTCGTCGACGGTGCGGTTGTCGCGATCTTAGGAGTGTTACCGCCTAGCCCGCTGTCTTGCCTTTTCGCGGCTGCGGTAATTATTTTCTTCAATTGTTTTGCATCTTTATAGATCTGAGAACCGGGCTCGTTAAACTGACAAGCGTTACGACACATAAGCATTAGATCTTTCTCCATATCGCTGATTAAACTATATGCACCCTCTTGAATTTTTCTTGCAATGGTTTTCAAATCAATTGGTGTTTCAATTACATCGTAATATTCTGGATACAACTGTGTAATTAATGCAATTGTGTGAAAAACATGATATACAAATCACCGTTTAATTCAAGAATAAGAACTACATACTTTTTTCGATGGTTTGAGTTGAAACATAATATGAAGAGGCCGATTGTTATCAGTTGGATCAGTTGCTGTCATAACTGCTGCGAATAAGTCTTCAAAGAGCTGCATAGTTTCCTCATCGAGATTTGCAGAGCTCTCAGAAGTGTCTTCAGCATCCTCCTGTCTTGCTGTTGCTCTTCTTGCCTAAATGTACATTGATATGTTAACACATAACTATTGTGATAAGCAAAACATGATACAGAGGTTTAGATCCATTTATTCTTAAAATAATTCACATAATAATGAAAGATTAAAATTATGACAATTACCAATCTCCCAACTTTTAGAATAAGTTTTCCCTTGGGTTCTGGATCCTCGTACTCTTCCATAATACGATTTTTAGTATTTACACACAATTCCCACAACTCGGTGGCATCTTTGTATTCGGGAGATGTACGCTATAGAAAAATTGCAAAATTAAAGACAAATCTAAATAGTTTATATACAATTGAATAAACAGATTACAAAACAGATTACTAAAAAAAAAAAAAACAGTATATAATCTTACCATATAGAAAGCTTTTGCATTATTCACCATAAGGTGAATATCAGCAGCAAGGTCATCCATATCACGATACTCATCTGTTTTCAGCTTCTGTTGCACTTTTAGGAGATCAATAGGATTAGAAACAACTTCGTAATATCCTGGCTCTTGCCTGCGCTTAGGCACACGTATAAATGCATCACACAACAGGGTTCCGTCCTCCTTCTTCTGATTACGAAGTACATCATACAATTGTTGGCACAAGTCACTCTATGCACATGAAAAACAACATACATACATAACTCAAAACCATGTGAATGGTATTCAAACATAACATAAAAAGAACTTGGTGTAGAGATGATAAATGTACACGAGTGCACACTCACAGGGTCTAGTTTTTTCCTTCTTTTTGTTGGTTCAGGTGGGATATCGTCACCGTCGTCCTCGGTGCCGCGACTCGCCACCGAGGATGTTCTACGACGCTTGTTCATCCTGGTGTATCTTAAAAAGATTACCAAAGATACATTATTAAGCAACGAACACTCCCGGCGATCTAACTACAACAGGTTTTATTCATTACATTGTCCAATTGCGTACGGTATAGCATTACAGTGCAAAAACTACTGCCCGGAGTACAATTATTCGGAATACAAATTTGTAAACAAATGTATGTGTGCATACATACATTCGCATACGTGTGCGCGTGTATGTACATAAAAAGGGTTCTTGAACTAAACACCGAAGCTTATTCGTCGAACCGTTGCGCCGTTGTTATCGGAGATACGTCGTCGTTATCGCTAGTACGTGCGACGAGCCACAAGTTCTCGGGGTGATGTTCGGCTTAGCACGCGGCACAGAAACCATAATCCGACCCGCAGCCGACGTGCAGCTAACACTCGTGCGGATTCCTCGGCGCGAGACGTCACGTACACACGCGAGAGTAAACGAGATACACACAACTGGCAGCGAAAAAAAATCACGCCGCCATGATAAGTCGCCACTGTGCTTCAAAATGCGGTACCGTGCATCGCGCGCGGACTGTGTTTTAAACGTCGCGAGGGACGCGTTTCCGCCTCTCGTCCGTCATCGATTAACCGCGTCCGTTTCGCCGGGACGCGTGTGATGCGTTGACAAACGCGCGGCACAGTCGCGACGACCGGTCACGCATCCATTTCGCGATTATCCCGTATCGGGGATCGCGTCCCAACTGGAATTTGCCGCCATATCCGCGAACGGCGCGGATCGCATCGTCCCTCGCGGAATTCCGAGAACGCCGTGGGGACACCGCCGACTACCATTTTATTTTATTTTATTTTATTTTTTTTTTTTTGAACCCCCAAAGTCCCAGACTATCTCACCTGTCCACGCGCTCTCATGAGATGATTCTCATTGATACGCGAAACATCTGTACAGATTATATATATCCTCCGAAAGCGCAAACCAAAGCGTTACTACGCTCTTCGTCCGCATTCCAGGACGACACACGTCGACGCCATGCTGCAAAGCGAGTTTACCGCTGATTCGGCTGATTCCCGGATTCGAAAACAGAAACACGATCGCTCGGTACGTAAACCGGGCAGTCGCTCCCGCTCGACGAACAAACGCTGCGTCGACCGTGTGCTTACTTGTGATAATATATTACGTGATTTATAATTTTATTATACATATAACTAAAATTTATCTCTCTTATACAAATTACGAATAAAGATCGCGATACGTTACCGTCGGTAAAGTAACGTTACGTTTTCTGTCTTATCCGCAGCAGATAAACACAGCACGCGCGAACGAGAACCGCGGGAGTAACAAATTTTCGTTCGAAAAGAAATTTTCACCCATTAGAAAATTTTAAATGTAATTTAATAAATAATTTAATAAAATTAAAGAGGAATTATATCAACGCGTGGATTGATTCTTGATAATTTATTGAGAAAAACAGTATTTATATGTATAAAATAACTTTGGTAAAGAGACTTCGTCGGAGAAATTTCACACATGCGAGTTTCACTTATGCCAAACGTACGCACACTTATGAATTTTGAAAATTTTGCCTTCATCTCCAAAAAGATGCGGTATTACAAAAATTTGTGTGCTCAGTCTAAATTATATTCTACACGCAACATTACAAACATCATCATCTAAGATCGTCAAGATCAAAATACTATACGGAACTAAAAAATACACTCGGGAGTTTTTATAGATTTCCAAAATCACGATTATTAATTAACATACAAATTCTCTTCTTAAAAATATATGTTTCAAAAAACAAATGTAATTCTCTTATAAAATTACTCTATAATAAAAAAACTCACTTTAGATATTTTGAATTTCATTGCTCATTGCATTTTCTTTGACAAATGTACTTTACTTCATAAATGCTCTGTAATACATGTAAACATAATACAACAACAAAAAAAAAAAAACAAATACTGCATCAATTGAAAAATGACGTGTAAGATGAAAGATCGGGTGTGACGAGTAAATTATAATACTCGAGCATTTATCAATAAAGTACGTTATGTATAGATCAGTTTCTATCGACGAAAATTCGTTGATATTTTAGATACTTGCACAATATGTGTGTGTGTGTATATATATATAAATTCTAAGAATAAATGATGAATAAATTTTGTTTGTGTGTAATAGAAGTCAAATCAATTGCTCTATAACGGAATAATTAGACTAATTTACACAACACTGCTATACTTTCTTATCTACAATTTTTGCAATTGCTAAGTGTGATTTTTAATATAGACTCAAATCCATAATATCGCTTATGTTTCGCTGTCTCCGTCGAGTTGATAATGATAGCGTCGTAGAGCTGCCAGGCGCAATCTCTCGGTTTCCAGAGCCTGTTCCAGTTCCAAGATTCGCACTTGCGCTTCCATTTCCAGTCTTTTAGCTTGATGCAAGCTCAAATTGGACATGTCTAAATCCTCTGTGCGCGCGCAACAAAGTGAAATAAAACGGACATTTAATATAACACAGTATAAAATGAGAAAAATGTCTTCAAATCACATACCATTTTCCTCGACCAGATGGTTGCAGCTTTTGGCAGTTGCTACAACGTTCGCTGTCGCCTGAGTCACTTCTCTCGAGACTTTTGAAAGTTCAGTCAAATTAGTGCTGTTTCTGTCAGCCTTGACTCTGCTAGCGACTACCAGTTGTGCGGTAGATGCTGCTATTCCTTGCGAAGCGACAACCAATTGTTCGAATTTCCCCTTGCCCGATACAACTTTATCCGCTGCTTCTCTGTAACGATAATCATCTGCATGTAACATGTAATGTAATGCTACAATGTAATTAAAAATAAAATATTTTTTCAAATTTACAGCAAGAAATTTGCGCCCATAGCAATCGCTTTTGCTGCCGAGATGAGACCTTCGGACCATTGATGATTACGTTTGTAAAATTCCGTAGCCGAGGCAGTTCCCTGTGTGTGCAAAATATCAACGTTTCTCATTACTTCTCAATCTTTGTGATAACATTCGTTTGTCGAACTTCGTTAAAATAAATTTGCCGTACCCTTCCCTGCTCCACGATTTCTCTCTGTAAGAAACGAGACTTTTGCACCAGTTTCCTTATGAATTTCATCAATTCTGTACAAGAATCCAAGATCTGCTCGTTAACTTTCAGCTTTAAACCTGAATCTGCCGCGCGAGACTTGTCCAACATATCCTGTTAAAAAACGAATCGAGAAAAAACACATTATTTGTGTCTTACTAGTTTATATCTTAATAAGTTTGTTAAACGTGTTATATATTTGTTTACCTTTATTCTTGCAACCGCTTCTTCTATAGCCTTGTCCATACTTTGCAGCTCGTTTTCCACTAAATTCCCGATGATTTCAACGTTGTTCTGAGTGGTCGACAACGTACTTACAAGAGACGAAATCTTTTGCAACTGACTCTTAACATTTGTAATTTGTGCTTCGGTCATCGAAGACTTCTCTTTGATGTAACTCAACATAATTAAACCTTGCGAGCCCAATTGTTTACATTCGTCGGCGAATCCTGTAAACACATGATATTATGTATATTTTATAAAATAATATCAATAGTATCTTAACAATAAAAAGTACAGCTTTATGTACAAAGATAATTAACGTCCCTATCTGTGTAGACAATCTAGTTCTTAAAAAAAAAAGCTTACTGTCAGCTGAACCAATATCCGTCGATGTGTTCGAAGTGGATTTTGCGTATATCAGATAGAGAGCCAGAAAATATGCGCTGCGTATAGAAGCGCGAATCAACAATTTTCCTTTCGTAGTGTCGGATATATAATCATTGTATGTTTCTTGTAAATCACGCAGTGATTTATCTGTGGGTTCCAATAAACCACCAAGATAATCAGGTGTACATGTTAGGGCCGATATGGCCGGGTTATCGATCGCGTGCATCGCTTGCTGCAAGATAGATTCTGCTTCCGATATAGCGTTTACTGAAAACAGATGTTTGTCTTCAAAATTCTGTACGAGTAGTTGTTTAACACGCGGACTCGATGCGTTGCACGTTTACACTCACGTAATAAATCGAACAAAGCTGTGCTGGCGTCCACTTTTACTCGATTGCACGTTCGTTCGGCATCAGTTTCCAAATTCGTTATTCGTAAATCAAGCTCTTCCTTCTGCACCAGCAAGTCATGAAGATCTCCCTCCAAAGCTGTTTTCTCGGAAGTGATAAAATCTATCTTTGCTACTAACGCCTATAACATAATTTTCTTAATACACATATATATACCAAATATAAATAAATGTATCATTTTTTATTTTTTAAAAACAACTAAAGATCTTTACCAAATTCTCGGTTTGGACAGCATCAAGTCTCTTCCTTACATCCTCTAAATCTTGACGTGCTTGTGTCACTCTCTGTGTTTCCTGTTCCGCCGACGCTTGTCCTTGAAGAAGTTCTTGCAGTCGCTCTTCGGCCTTTAACGTTCGACGTTCTGATTGTTCCCGCAACAAATTCAGTCCTCCCAGTTCTTTGTCCAATTCGGCTTTCTTTCGCGCATAATAAATAAGATATATAACAAGATATATAAGCAAACGTGTAAAATAATGTTCTGTAGATAATACGTTATCATCGTTATCATATACAAACGTACCTTTCTGATTAAACTGATATGCTCCTCTCTTAATTTTGAGTAAACATCCTTGAGTTTTTTAAACTTCTCTTCTATAACTTCATTTTTTCCTGAAAAACAAAAGCGTTTGATTCAATTAGCAGAATGAATGAGAAACAACTTTTAATAGATATATTAAAAATTTGCTAACCTTCAATTTCTTGAAATTTTCCCAAGATATTTGTGTTCTCTTTTATAAGCTGTTGACAAGTTTGCTTCTCCGTCACAATTTCATTGCTCTAAAATATTTGCATAGAGTTATATGTAAATCGATATAGAAATTATCAAATGTGTGTGATAAATAACTTACTTTAGCAGAGAGGGTCGATTCTAGTTCCAAAACACGGTTTCTAAGATCCGCGGTCACTTGCTGATGTTCCATAAGTATGCGATTCAGTTCTTGTCTTTGACGACTGTTTTCTTGACATAAATGACTAATAAGATTGTCTCTGAAAAAATAAACCCCAAACGACAGATCAAAACATCGGTAATAGATTGCAGTCACACGTTCATATTGCCAATTAAAAACTATTGCTGTATTTTTTTTCTAAATTTATAAGAAAAAAAGACACACGAAAGAAGAAAATGAGAGAGGAAAACAATTTGTTACTGCTATACCTTTCCGCGAGAACGTCAGGCGATATCGAACCGTTTCGTGTATTTGTAGAATCTATTTGATCTCCCGTTAACGATCCCGTGTCGGACGTATCGATGAGAGTTTCTATAACAGACTCGCTGTCTATAGATTCTTCAGGCGGAAGTACCACTATTGGCGTGACATATGTTCTTAATTCGGATTGTATTAAAAAGTTGGGTGGATTCTGAAATAAAAACCATGCACAAGAGAATAAATGTTTTGATTACACTTTTACGATATAAACCAGAAAATGGTTTAAAAACAAAATTACTTTACCTCGGGCAATGACGGAATAGTTATCAAATGTTTGAAATACTGCATATGTTTGATAGTGTTGTAGAAACTTTTCAATTCATGAAATTGTTTTGAGAATCTATCGCGATGTCCGGTTAATGTGTCGGCCGGAAGCGCGCCGTGAAGCTTGAACAATATTTTTACGCAACAATCGTACAGCTGCGAGGCGTCCTGTATGCACGGGATTAACGGCGCGAGTCGGCACTGACCGCAGGGCGTCATCGAATTGGACCGCGACATATCCAGAGAACCGAAAACTATAATTCACAAAAAAAACTACATATGAACACACGCTGCGGAAAATTGTCACATTTAAGATGGCAACGTATGTAACGTAATTGTGCAAAATCTGAAATCTGATATGTTACATTTAGCATTTCATTCCCAGTGTACCTGCATGCTGTAACTCTAAGATGTCATCCATGTAATCAAACATTTCAACGGACATTTGGAAGCTGAAAAAAACAAAATGATAAATCAGTGATAAATTAAATAAAATATTCGTACACACAAAACTATCATGTTCCGTTAAGATAAAATTCCAAGAATAACATAACTTACTACACATTGATGTCATTTTCTCCGATGGCTTCTAGTTCCTCCGCTGTTACTTGCAGATTTCCAGGTAAGCGTGGATTTCTTTTGTGATAATCTAATTTAGTAATTAACAGTTTTGTATACAACTGAATGAGACGACCGTAGCCTTCTCTCAGGTGTTGCCAGAGCTTGCCGATATCCTCAAGTTTGCCACGATATCGCTGCGAATCGACGATAACTCGAGGATGGCCTTCGCGCAGTAGTTTGTGCAAAACATGACAGAATTTCCAAGCAACAATCTGATTTTCTTGCAACGGTTGCCTCAATATGTACAACCAAAAAATGGCACCACTCTTTTCTCGATATGTACCGATAATTGCACCTATTTAATTATATAAGGAACTTTTTTCCAAGCACACATGAATCTTTTAACATAAAATATTTAACATCGAATATACAGGTAACTCTCGTATAACGCGGTACTTCAACAACGCGGTTTGTACAAAATCTAATAAAATAAAGTCTAATCTCATTTTTTCAATATGCGCGCTTATGCGAGCGTCGTATAACGCGATTTATATAACGTGGGATTTCTGTGGAACAAAATATCCGCTTTATACGAGGGTTACGTATACGATTATACATGTGGTATTAAAATATTCTAGCCGGCCCAGTAGGCCTCGCGGCCTAAGTGCGGAGACTACGAGCAGAAAGGTTCCGAATTCGATCGAATCCACATTTTCGAATTTTTTCGGGTCGGTCTCTCTCAATCGAATTTACTGAAATGTGAACTAAAATCGAGCCTCCAAATCGGAAAGGCAACGGGAAACCACCTTAGTAATTTTCCAACAAGAACACCTCAATGTGAGATGCCCCGTCACGTCTTGTGAAAGGCAAAAAAAAAAACTACGAAAAAGAATTAAAATATTCTAAAGATAGAAAAGGATACTTCGCACATGTTTCTCCTTTACAGGAGTCTCCGTCGAGTTTACAGCTTTTGCAATGCTAATACCCTATGAACAAGTAATGTAACAAAATAGTATTTTTGTATATTAAAATTGAGAAACTCAAAAAAATTTACATTTGTGTGTATTTAACAAAATAAATGTCTAGTTTTAAATTTTCATATGTAGAACATAAAATAATTGACATTTAAATATATACAAAACCCTAATTCTCTACTCACCAGTTGGTGAAGCTGTTTATCAGTCAGTGCCACTGTGGTCATGATGATAGCATAATCAATTTGCAAAGACACAGACACAAAAAAATGATATATCAAGTATATTTATATTCAGCGCTCGCAAAAGGATCTTTGATTTTTCTTCAACCTGTTTGAGACTAGCTTATATCATTTACTTAACTAATTTTTGACTATTGTATATATTATCTGCAAAACTGTAAACAAAAGTATTGTTCGCAATTACAATATAGAGAGACCAAGTTGCTTGTAAGAGAGAGATATGAAATTTGAAACGTGTGTATACTTTCTCCGTTCGGAGAAATAATTTGTGATGAAGGTCAGTGATACGCATTTTCTCTCTGTAAGAACACGACATACCTGAAGTCTCTGGAAGTGTGCAAACTTCAAGTTCAAACCAGTTGCTTTACGCTTGAGATTTTGTTGCTGCGAAAAGGAAGTAGACATATTCGAGGAGTGACACACGCGTTGAATGTCGCTTCTCTCTTTCTCCTCCGGAAGCGGCGTCTTTAGAATCGTGACGATTCCGAACACATTGTTCCACGAATTATCGCGACTTCGCCCATGAATGTTGATATACTTTGTCACAAAAAGCGGATCCAAAAGAGGGGGAGCGCGACGACGTTCCCTCTCACGTCGATTTACTTGTGCGACAATCAATCGCGCGGAACCTCGATCGACGTTGTTCGCAACAACTTCGAGAACAATTTGTTGTAAATTTGCAGATCAACACGCGAAATAACAGACACAACTGTGTGGGAAACGGCGAATCGAGCAATGAGGTTGTTCGCCCGTAAAGTCGAACTTCGTCGGCGAAAAGAAATCGAGACAGGTATTTAGGAGGGGCGCGAAATCTCGTAGAAACACTCGTACGCTCGTACCGGTGTTTGTAGCACCATCTGGAAGTACGATCGCGCCCTGTCCTCGAGCCAAGCATGACGTGTTATCGGACGAGAGAGCTTCTATTGGTCTCTTTCTTTCTCTTTCCCTTTTTTACCGCTCGTTATCATTCATAGGCTGCGTTCAAGGAGCGCGCATCATTCTATCTTTATCACTCATTACATATAAACAAAGATAGAATGACGCAATAGCGACTGATAACGCGTTCCACTAACGCAGCCAATCGGTGTCGTAAGTTGCGACGCATACAAAAAAAGAAATATCCCTATAACTGACCCAATCAACGTGCTCGCATGCTGTGTTGTTTCATCTTGCGTTTTTCTCGACGCTCCGATCTGATCCAATTCGGACCAACTTAACCGGTTGATTATTTCATTGGAATTGACCAATTGCAGTAATCAGTTAGCAGAATTGACCAATCACGGTTGACACTTAATTGTCCCGTTAAATTATCTGGAGTTGAGTGTGAGTCAACTCTGGTCAACTCTGAATTGCACTGAATCACACCGACTTCTCCCGGACTGATTGTCATTGTCACCAACAGTGATGAAAGTTTTGGCAGGCTAGCACCAAGAGCACCAAGGTGGTGGGAGCCACTGGGAATACGCACACAGGCGAGACCGCCGTCCGTGTGTGTGACGTCATGCACACGGACGGCGGTCTCGCTTGTGTGCGTATTCCCAGTGGCTCCCACCCTTGGTGCTAGCCTGCCAAAACTTTCATCACTGGTCACCAACTGTCGCTCTAATTACTGTTGATTACTTCACGCGAGTATTACGGCACAAGAATCAGACAAATTTTGTTATATATTTTGATAATTTATCTCGAGTGTAACGGAAATTAGTACAGGAATGTTGTCTCCAAAAAAGTATTTTACACGGAATTGACACACATCAAACATTTTTAAGAATTTTTACTCTAATTTATAACGATATTTCTCTCAATTTCTTTAGAAGATAAGACGTTTCTTTTCTTAGAGAATAATCATTAAAGTGCACAACATTGTGCAACAATTAACAGAGTCGAATAATAATAATTAGACGAAGAGAAAGAATACCAGTGAGTATTGTATAATATTCTATATTTATTATATATTGTGTAAAAATATTATATTTATTATGAGGAAACTAAATTTAATAAACGAAATGTCAGTCAAACAATTAACCTTTATTGTATCTTTGTTAGTCTGTATTTCAAATGTTGCTTGGTTTTTCTCACAAATCTCATTTTACACATGTATATATTTAAATTATATTTAAGTTCTATATAACTTTAATGGCTAAATTATTTTTCAATTTCTTTAAGGTTACTTTTGTCACAAAAGATTAAGATATGGCTACAGTATTAGCATCAAAGGAATTTTCCTTAAAATGGAATAATTTTTCCAACAATCTGACTTCTGGTTTTCTTTCTCACTTGAATGAAAATAATCTGGTTGATGTAACTCTTGCTGTGGAAGGACAATTGGTAGCTGCTCACAAGTTGGTTCTCTCTGTGTGCAGTCCTTATTTCAAGAATATATTCAAGGTATGACTTCATCTTTATGCTATTGTACAATAAAAATGTGCTAAATAAAAACTTATAGTTATTCAACAGGAATATCCATGCCAGCATCCGGTGATAATACTGAAGGATGTAAAGCATGCGGAAGTCACAGCTCTGCTAAAGTTTATTTATCAGGGTGAGGTAAATGTGAGACAAGAAGATCTACCTATGTTCCTAAAAGTGGCGCAGATGTTGCAAATAAAAGGACTGGAGGGTGGTGACAGACAAATTATACCATTGTTAAATGATTATGTCAGTGTGTCAGATTTACAGTGCAATTCCAAAGATGTAACTGCTTTGTCAGATATCAGTGAACAAGAAAGCAGTAACAAAACGTCAGAAGGATCTACACATTCTCACAGAATAATCAAGAAGAATAGTAAAAAAAGAAAAATACACACGACTGAAAACGATTTCAGTTCAGCTAAGGAATTAAGAAATGAACCAAATATTAGCAATAAAAACAACGTTTTTGTCTCATCAGATAACAATGATGAACAAAATTTACTCGACAGTGAAGAGAATATCACGCACGACGATATTGAAAGCAACAATGCTGTTGATGATGACGACGAAATAGTTGAATTGACCAACGAATCAAACTTGGCAGGAAACTCAACGCAATCAGGTACGTTTTATTTTGTTATTTAGTTAAATATAGTAAAATCTACTAAAAATAAGATGTTTGTTATTACATTAAGTCGTTTTGTATAAATTATTGTTATAAAAATTGAAAATTCTGAAAATTTTATAGCTGTGGAACCAGTGATTTATAGACTCTCTGCCAGAGGAAGACCGCAACTGGTTCACGAGGGATACGTATATAACTTGACATCTCGTTCCGAACAATTGAACAGATCGCATTACCGTTGTGCGGAACAGCATCGCGGTTGTCGTGGTAAATGCTCAGTAATCGCGGAAAGTTTCATGCCTACAGGAGTGCACAATCACAATCATCCGCCAGGTTACCAATCGGAATATGATTATAGGAAGAAAAAGGGCTTAGATACCGACAATGTTTGAAGAGATTTTATTCCATGCATTCCAAAACATTTTGTGATTAAAATAAAGGATTTTATATCATTTAAAATTAAAACATTATCGGCAAAATATAGAATCTAGATTACGTATTTACGTTTTGAAAATGATCTCAAACAAAATGAGGAAAATAGGAGCTCTTTGTACGATTTATTCATGCAAGAAGGCCTGGTATAAGCGATATTTTGTACTAGCAGTATTTTGACTAGATTCTATACTTTGGCGGTGTCTGAACAGCGGTGTCAGCTGTTGAGCAAAAGCGATTATACTTAATTGCATTTAGCAAATATTCTGAGTATTATATTCGTTGTATTGTTCTTCCTATTTTGCCACTTTTTAAGGCTTCTGAATATTCTTTGTAGTAGTGTCTAATTACAATATCAGAAGAAATTTCTCCAAGCAATGTTTTTCTTTTTTGTAATTTTTAGTATATGACTGCAAATAATATTTAAAAGCCTTAAAAATTGTTCCTTGATAGATGACAAATAATTAAAACAGGGAATGTCTTTCCAATTAGAATTTAGCTGATATTAGAATTTAGTTACTGTGATGAGCGAATGATTACGTTTTGTTATACCATGTGAATACAAAGTGAATTTGTACAAATTTCACTGAACACAAAAGTATATACGAAAGCCAAACCAAAAGCTGTGAGTTAAACGGATGTGTTTGACACTGGAAGTACAAATACTAGCCTAAGGAGGAGATACGTCGAGATTCTTTGCACATTGCGGGCTATTTTCACTATCATCATTAAGAAGTTTATTCACTGAACTCAGTATGCCTAAATATACTACAAATTACTCATCAAATTTGATAATTCTGTCTTGTAATGATAAAACTTTTTGTGTGTGTTTAGTGAATAGACTAAATTAATCGGAGATAATGTGAAATTCTAGCCCTGTATATATATGGAAACACATTCCACAGTGTTTAAAGACTAGGGTCCAATAAGTAAGTATACATACTGTGTGTATATGACATACCTTCTATACGTATAATTCATATGTATATATATATTGAAATAAAAATACATATTATAGTATCTTCTTAAATTTATTACTATTTCTGGTAATACTATATACTGTGATGTGACATTCCGTTATAATCTGATCATTTTCAGAATTTATAAATTATCATGACATTTGTTTATAAAACGAAAGAGATCATGTATTGCTTCTTTGTTAAAAACAAACATTTCGGTTTAAAAATTTTCTTATAGCGCGGAAACAAATATTTTATCTTCCCTAAGGCACTTAATGAAGTCAATTTGCATCCTCATATTCTGTCTTTTTTTTCATCATGTTTCACCTGTAGCAGTTTCACTCTTACTTTTCTAATAATTTGCTTAAGACGATGTTAATTTTCATTACACACGGCGAAGCATTATTATAATAATTTTTGCACTTGTAGTTAATTTTTGAAACTTGGATTCGTGCACATTGTATAGAATAGAACCGCACGCTGTCGACAGAGCGCGAAATAGAACCGTGTCCACGTTTAGACACAGTGCGTGCACCGACAAGTCGCTCGTGGACATGGTTGTAATTGCTATCATCAGATAAACGCCTCACAGACAATTTTTTCACTTCTAGATAAGTTTTCGATAACTTTATCTAGAAGATATCTTCCAAAATTGGTTCTCCTTATTGGTTCTCAGAGAAATTTATCCAGAGGATAGCTATATCGAGAGGTATGAAGAAATCGGTCGTTTTACATCGCGAACATTATTTTTTGTTAATCCAGCAACTTATAATTATTTTNATAAAATGGAAATTATTATAAGAAGATATTTACCTTATATTAAAAATAAAAATTATAACTTAATACAATTTTTCATTGGAAAAATGGCTAACACACATTCGTTGTAATGCATTAGGAACTTGCAATTTATTTAATAAAATTTTGAAATATTACATTTCACTTCGAATAAAAATTGATTGTAAGAAAGGTAGATTAAAAAATGAAATTTATAATAGTAAAACTATGGCACGACATGCTATTATAAAATAAGTAAAAAAGTAATATTAAATAATATTTTAAATAATATTTGTATTTTTATTAAATATTATTTTACTACATATTAATACTATTTGTATTTTTATGTATTTATTGTGTGTATATACTTGTATTTCATTGTATTTTTATATATGAAATAAAACGTAATAACGAATTTATCTTTTTATATTGTCTTATATATATCCTTGATAGCCAAGCATGTTTTGCAAAATCATGTAACTTAATGCTGAGCTGAAGTTTTCAACTAGTTGCTGTGTATTTGCTGAAAACATGATGCATAGTCATACGTAATCGACAACACGAAGGCAAATTTGAGACACTTTGTGTCAGCAAATTTAGAGCAAACGAAGAGCAACTATTGCTCATTACGTTGTCAACAAAATGACTTTTATTCATAGAAAACTCTTTGCTTTGTCATTCGTTTTTGGCAACATAAGATCAAACATGACGATAACAAAACAAGACACCGATGTTTGTACTTCTGTCGTATGGTTGGTAAAAACTGTTGACATATATTTATTCTATCTTGTAGCCCATTAAATGTTGAAAACGAATGACCATCTTTTAGAATAAGTAGACAAAAATAGTTATATTTTAGTAAGAAACAAGTGGTCTCGCGGACTGAGTGCAGGGATTGCAAATATGAAGGTCTCCAGTTCAAATCCCACTCATCACCTTAGAATTTTTTCCATGTCTGGTACCTTTCATCGAGTTAATCAGTTGATCGACGTACTAAGGCTGCTTTCCTTTTAAGAGACACAGTCGACACAAGTCGACACAAAAGTCATTCTGTCTTTGTTCAGTATTCAGTGAGAAACAAAGACAGAATGACTCTTGTGTCGACTTGTGTCGACTGTGTCTCCTAAAAGGAAAGCAGCTTAAATCAGATTTCCAAAGATTAATTTAAGTGAAATCTCGAATTAATTAATTCTCCTTTCACAAAGCGATGTGTCAGTGAATATATATTTGTCCGTTTTCGACGATATTATATTTTTACTGAAATTTATGACACGTGTTGTTGGCAACTTGTTGTCATGTTGCTCTTTATGTTAGTGATAAACCGTTGACGGCAAATACACGGCAAGTTGTCGGCAATACATGTTGAATACGTGTCATGTCAAACTAAAGACACATGCCTGACTCACCTTGTTTTAAATTTGCTGAAAACACAAGCGTTTTGTTTTCGGCAACATGACAGCAAAAATACAGACAGGTGGCTATCAGGGATTCTATTCTTATAGCCTGAGCACAATAGAGAAAATATTAGGGAATAAGAATTAGAAATGAAAGTTAAATGTACTATACAATGACAAAAAATAAAATATAACATATAAATACAGGAAGTATGTCATGGTTGCATGATATACAGCCTATTTATATACATTTTTATATGTTATATTTTATTTTTCTGCATTGTGAATTACATTTAACCTTTGTTTTTAATTTCTATTCCTAATAAGTTTTCTATTCTGCTTGTAACGATGCTAATCGTTACGGCCGGGACCGACCATACGTCCCGGCCCAAACACGGAGCATTGCGCTTAATAAAATATATCAAATTCCAGCGTGTATGATATACACGTTGTTTTCGAGCGTACCGCCCGCACCGCGCGCCTCACAGCGCCAAGAAGCGACAGCTGATTTACCGCCCGCACCGCGCGCACCACCGCACAATGAAACTACTTGCGTGACAAACAATTTGTTGTTTTCCGCGCATTTTCTCAACCCCGCTCCGCGGAAAACGGCGAGTATAAAAGCTGGGCCCAAAAGCGAAGTGCTCAGATCCGCCTGATCTCCGAATCTAGCGAGAAGCACCTGGGGAAGCTCTTCCTCGGTCGGGCAAACCGACTGCGACTCACGATTCGATCCTCACCGGGAGAAGAAGTTATTTTTCTCTCCGCCGGGAAAACCGGCTTTCCTTCCACTCCGCTCCCGGGAATCTCGTATTCTCCGCCGGGTAAACCGGCATCCGTTTCGCTCCGCTCCGGGGAATCTCGTATTCTCCGCCGGGCAAACCGGCCTCTATGTCAAGCCGTTCCAGGGGTACGTTATTCTCCCCCGAGTAAACGAAGACGCCGCTGTAGCGGAAAAAGCCAATCGTACACCGGCCTCATAATCGCGACAGCGAGATATCAATTTCCGCGAAGAACGATTAAATCAGCTCGTGAAAAAGCGTATTTCTCGACCAAAGTCACTTTTTCGTTTTCCTAGTTTTAAAACTCACTTTTCGCGCGAAAACTCACTTGTATTAAAACTCACTTTTCGAAACTCACTTGTCTAAAACTCACGTTTCAAGATTTCCTTTGTAAAACTTACGTTGTAAATACTTTCTTTTATTTCTTTGTAAAATACCCTTACGAAAAAGAACTACTGGAAGTAATATATTGCGGCAGTGGTACGAAAAAATTACTGGCATTCTGTGTAATTGCCAATAATATTCTCAGTGATTCCTGTAATATCTAATAATATTCTTATGTGATTGTCAGTAATATTTATATTACTGACTTTGTTTATATGTAATCGGCAGTAGTTCTTTTTCGTAAGGGTAAACACATATTATTCTTTTTGTTAAATCATAACCGAGTCTACTCTGATTACTTTACCTTAACCGAGCCCTGATCCAGACGAGCTACTCCGCAGGTTTAATAATTAACTAATTAAGACGAAAAAAGCTTCGACGAAAAAGTCGGTCCGTTACATGCTCAACTTTTATATTGAATAATACCGCGCGTGAAGTATAAATTTAAGATATCTTATTGGTTCTGCCATATTTTGTCACAACCAATAATATTGAAGACAACTGTGTCTAGACCATAGACTTATATAATAGACGGAACATTTATATGACGAAGTTGAAGACAACATTAAAGGACAGAAATAGTGCTGGAGTAGTTGTTTCTCTCTCTTACAATAAGAGCGGTGGGGGACCAATCATCTCACAAGTCTATGCTATCACCTTTCACTATCACTCTCTTTCAACTGACTCTCGAACTCTATCTTCGTTGCTCACTGCTAGAAAAGACATATATATAATACTTCTATATTGCTAGTCGCGTATCTTCGCAATGAGAGGCACGAGGGCCGAGAAAGAGAGACGCACGAAGTTCAAATATGGGCATAGAAAGTAGAGCGTCATTATGCGCAGGCGCGTCTACTAAGCGAGTGCGAG